CCTGGAAACAGGCAAATGATTGAAAACCGTGTGATTGTAACACCAGTAGAATTTTACTTGCTGATTTTGCATCCCCATWTGTTTCAACAGAATTATTTTCGTGGTGAGGTATTTTGTTATATGATTTTATTCACCTAATACATTCAACGTGATCAGCAACTACAAGGAAAACATGAACTGTACAAGTATTTTGGTTTTATGCCCTGAATTTTTAAAGKATGTTAAATGATAACATAAGGGTATAAATGGAATGAGAACTGCAACATTTCTATGCCTTGAAATTTCATGCTGTGGTTCCCACAGCAACCATAACCATGGCCACTCCACATGGATTTTACATCCCAGTCTGAACACGCTGTTCCAAGTGCTCAAAACACATAAGCAAAAAACAAGCATAAGCATTTTTTTCCCCTGCAATAAACATCTTACCTGCTAAGCCACAACCACTACAAGGTTTTAATGGCACTTGTAGGTGAAGGTGAACTCCCAGCAGCTGACAATGAATGCCCTGAATGTGGCTTGTGTGCAGMGATACTTGCAGGATTCATAGTGTTGGTATTGACACCCTTCTGTTTTCTGTTATTGCTGGAACAAGAGCCTGCTGTTTGTACGGAAGGTTAAAACATTCTTAGAAGGCTAAAAGAGAACAGTTAAGGGTCTTTCAAATTCTTTTGTTTTGAATATCAAACCGTTTCAACTTCAGAAGCACAGAGTGGTCAAGAGACTCCTCCTCCATGGTTTTGCTCATTTTATCCAGCCCCTTTGCTTGTAGTGCACTAAAAAGAGACTGGCAGAAACAGGAACACGAAAACCATCAAGYTACTGGTTTGCCTTTTTCTGGTCTCAAGTTTGCCAGATGTAAGGAGCACACACAGAGACAGCAATTCTTCCATCTCCCTTGTTCTTAGTTTTCTTTAAGCATTTACTTCTGTTGTAATGCAGGACTCTGATAGGCCTTGGGTATGGAAAAGTTGAACATCTAAAAAATTATTAATAGCACTAGACCGAACTTTATTCAAAGCTTCCTGCTGGGTAACAGTTTATTCTCTGAAGTGACAGAGTAATGGTCAGTGGTGAAGTTAATGAAATAATTCACTGCTACTGGAGGGAAGAACTCCTGTCAAAGGTGGAATTTTCACAACCCCACTTCATCAGAATGTCAAATCAGGGGTTTAATTGGCAGCATCAGTGATCTGTAATAACATGAGCCTGCCTTCACTGGAAAGCTCCAGGGCTTTTCTGCGAAAACTTACAGAAATGAGATCGTGTGGACAGTTACAAGTCCCCATATTTAAAATTAAATGTTACTTCACAGTGGTATCTGCTTTTCAGAATTGTATTTATTCCTAAACATTGGTAATGTAAATTAGAAACCAAAATTCTACATTAGTATGACCCCCCCACCCCAGACAGCAGAAATACCATCCACTACCAAAATTCTCTAAATGTTTAACGCTTCAGGTTACTGAGAAAAGACGTGGTCTTGGATAGCCCAGCAAGAAACACCCAACCAGGCCCCCCCARATACAGAGTGACACAGGCTCACAGGAGCCTCTGGCACATCCAGGGGTACCTGAGCCCTTTGGGGACAGTGACCACTGTGACCGAGCGGGTTCCAACCCAGGGGGCCGTGCACACATTGCTGATCCCGAGCAGCATTGCACAGAGAGAACAGCTCTCTGTGCTGGCTGCAGGCCTAATGAAATTGCAATCCACAGCATGGTCTGTGACACAGCAGCTGTGGGAAATACTGATTAAAACCCTCTACACAATATCCCAAYGGGCCCATGTGCAGCTGAGTTTTTAACTGAATTGGAGAGATCTCTTATTTATCCAGATATGCGAGTCTTTCCATATGACCAGGAGAACTCTGCACTTCATTTCTGCAACATAAACATGTGGATACTAATTTAGTATTTTTTTAAATAATCTAATTTATCTTGACACAAAATTCTGTAATAAAAAAAAATTAGGATACAGTATCTTGCTGTATTTGATCTTGAAGCCTCACTGTAATACAAGAGATAAAGGTAAACCTTGTCCAAATCTGTACTAGAAATCTTAAAGCCACAAAGATCAGACCAAATGCTGTAGCTTGAATAGAAGTAGTGTGCAAAACACTCAGCTTGCCAGAACTAGCTGTTCCTCTAGCCTACCTCTCCCAACCTCTCAACATGGTCAAGGACCTCAGGTCTTRTAAAGAGGTCAAACAGACTCAAGTGTTTGAGAAGTCCCAAGTACAGGGAAGGTTTGCATAAGAAAAAGTACATCTGAATTTGTTTGCACCTGCTCAGTGTTCATTGTTTTGTTTCATGTATGTACCTTTAAATACTTGTTTTTAATGAAGGAAAATGCCACAACCCAAACTCGTAAGACCTTTTTCCCTGCCAGATCCAGCAATCAAAATACACCTTCAGTGCTGGGTGACACAAGTYTCAGTGATGCAAACCTTTAGTCATGAGCCCACTACCATCAGCCCCCAACACACCACTTAGACCACACATTCCAGGACCGCAGTCATGTCATTAAACAAAAACACTCCTCGGTTGCCATTCACGTGCCTCAAAACACCGAGACCTGCTGCTGCCTCCTCAGCAAACACTGACCTCTGGTTATTTTTAAATCTTGCCCCTTAAGGTGAGAAAAACCAGCTGTGGTTCAGCAGAGTCYCATCAGCAGCGGTGCCTGCAAACCTACAGAGATCCCCAAGGAATATGAACAGGCAAAAAGCCTGTGTTGGGGAAGCAGTTCATCTTTGGTTCCAAGAGCTGAAGAAAGCGGTTTTCCTTCCCAGGCAGCTTCCAGAGGCTTAACACCAAGCGTGCAAGGTGATAAATATTCTCACAACTGAGTAATTTTACAAAGCATTTGGGAGGGAAGCTCTTAAAAATCTGTTTCAGATTATAAGAAGTGATTTTTTTTTTAATACCTCAAATAAAGATTTACTMTGAAAGAACCTTTTGAGAACACTTTAACAAAAAATACCAAAGTACAAACTTTAAATATTCAAAGTATGATACTGGTGCACTTTTTAGAAACACTTACATACTTAACAGGTGAAGTAGGAAGAGAGTATTTCAGAAAACATTTAATATGAAACCTTTTGGAACTTCCATCGAATACAGATTTACATAATTTATCAGAACACTTTTTCAGTTCAGACAACAAAGTGCACTGCCAGGTGAAAAAAATTACATTTGGAGGAGTGCTTAAAAYGTAGGAAGTGAAAGGATAGGTGACCATTCACCTGAGAAAGTACAATGACTGCCCTGAAATGTCTTATTGCTATTACAAAACGGAGTTTTCATGGAAAAAAACCCATACTGAGCAGCACAGGCACGGGCAGAGCACTGAAAGCCAACTGAACTCCGGTAGCACCTGGAGTTCTCAAGCCATGGCATGATATAGAATATACAGAGAATAAAATRCAAATTCAGGAATATTTACTACATTTAACAACTATGATTACCCTTTAAACTAGCATAATCAATATCAATGCTTAGGGGGAAAGAGAGGGGAAGTCTGCTGCCTTCACAGACTACAGATCACAAGAGCTAACTTGCAAAATATTAAGGACTTTGCATTTTCACCTCGGGTCAAATCTGAACTGTGTACTATGAGTAACTATTAGCTCACTGCAAATTTAAAACGAAAATTTAGGCTCCAGTTTAAAGCACATGTTAAGTACATGCGTAAGTGCTTCACTGAAATATAACCACAAAACATTAATACAAAAAGTCAAGTAGATAATGCAGGGTATTATCTACACAAGTCCTYGAAGAAATAAATTGAGTATCGGTAGGAAACAACGCATGAAGAAATCTCTTCATTCGAGTTTGCAAAATCAAATCCGGTTCACCGCTGTGATGGTTAAAAAGTGGGGGCTATCCCAGAGCAGCTTCACGTCCTACCCAGAGCTAGTTGGCCGTCAGAGTTCATCAGGGGTGGGTTCCACACTGCACRGGGACAGGGGACAGTGGACTCCCTGGGCAGCACAGCCAGACACAGCTGGCACAGAGCCATCCAAAGCAACACAACCGGAGCCAAGGGGAAGCACGCTGGAAGAGAGCTGCAAGGAAAAGCTTCAACTGTTCCTGCCTATGGCTGTAGTTGAGCAAGCTGGACATTTTGACAGAGGAGATCAGTGGCCAATTTGATTCCCACTTTGGGGTTTCACCGCTGAGCGTGCCCAGAAGGCGAGGGACAGCACTGCCCTACTGCAGCACGGCCTCACAATGGCACCGACTGGGACATGGCTGGTGGCAGAGCATGGCCATGGTTTGAGAGTCCCTTTGTGCTTTGTGTCAGTCTGACCTACTCTAACGTGGAAAACTCGCTCTGAAAGAAAACCACTACTCAGCAATTAGCACCTCCTTTTACACTGCCTCATTCCCTAGAGGAACAACAGAGAAATGTTCTTAGCTGCGATCAATACTCACAAGCCAAAAGGACAAAGATATAATTTTAGTAGTTTAGCAGAAGCAGAAGAATGGAAGCATTTACCCAAATATTAATGCACAAATTAACTACATTATTAAAATTTGATTCAGACTTAAATAATAAATAGGTGGGCAAAATATAATGCAAGACTTACTCAGTAAAAGTGAATTTTTAATTATCTCATGAGATCTACTTAGAAAACAGGACTAATAATGTTCACAACCATAAATCCAAACCCTTCACACACTTTTTTTTTCTTAACACAGCAGTGAACTGTAAACCTGCGTTTACTGGTTATCGCCTCAGTAATTTTAAATATTAACTCAAGTGTTTCCTCCTTGGCCATTTCAATTTTTAGCACCAAAATTAGCCCAAAAAGAGGTACTGGTACAGCTCRATGTTGTAAATGAATTGTTTACATATAATACTTTATATATTATACACACATACTGTACATTCACACATCCACACAAACAGGAGGCATATTTAAATGAATATATTCTGTGTCTCAATTTGTTGTCAAAGACTTAGGAGCAATGGAAATAAAGCAGAAGGGGTAATATTTTACATAGTAGGCAACTTTAATGCTGTAGTGCACTTATAAAAAAGTCCAACTCTCCCTCCCAGCTCAGCAGCTTTTTTTTTAATATCACTATTCAGAAGGATGCAGAAGTTATTGCCTAAATGTTATTCTATACATTTCCATCGGAATTCTCAAAAACACTTTAAATTGCTAACTAATTTACAACTTAACTATTTTTTCTTGTTACAGCTTTAACTCATTGGCAATTTTGGAAGCAATGTTTTTGAAAGCTATGGATGTTCCCGATATCCGCTTAAAGCGAACTCCGTTCAGGGACAGTCTTGGCAGTTTACACACCTCCATCTCCCACTGTACAAGGTTTTCCGCGTGCCCATCTCCATGGACACAGAAAAGCAAGAAACGCTCTCTTTGTTCATAGTCACAATTATTGGCATCCAGGACCTTTCGGATTTCCCTCATCATGTCATTGGGATCCATGGAGCTGGTGGTTTTCATGCTCCAGGTAAAACGCAGTGACCGAGGCTTGGCTTCCTTGTTCTCGTCCTTCTGATCCACAGCTACATTGCGGCTGAAAGACAGGAATTTCGGAGTGAGCAGGGCCAGCCCCCCTCTCCAGGGGCCACGGCAGTGAAGGCAAAGCTCCACGCACACCACCCGGGTTAGAGCAGCGCTGGGGGCTCCGGCTGCGAGCCAAGCCCCCCTCCCCCAGCTGCTGGACACACACACAGTCAGGGAAAGCTTTAGCTGCTGGGGCTGAAACCAAGGTGTGACACAACTGGCAGTCACTGGTTCAGGAGCAGGAGGGCACTGAYCTTCTGGAGGCAGAACTACCTGCAGCACCTACGACTTGATTTTAAGGCAGGCTCTGCTCAAAACTGTATTCTCGGACCACGTGGGCTGCTGAAACACCAGCTCTGTGCTAGAAGTTTCTGGAACACTCAAATAACAGCACCCTGTGACAGGAGGGTGCTCAGCCCAGGCCATGGGAGGTGCCCACTTACAGAGAAAGGGGTGAGCCCAAGCACAAAGGTGCTGGGGGTTCCTCTGCACCTCCTCCTGTGTGGCAGTGGGAGACCAAGKCCTGGGAGGGCCCATGGAGCCCCAGAGCAGCTGGCTGCAAGGAGGAAGGACAGCAGGACCAGGGTCACCCCCCTGCTGCCCAGGGTCACCATGAACTCCCCAACATGGGCTGGCTCAGCTACACTCCAGCCTTCCTGTGCTGGGATGTGTTTGAGATGATCCCTAGGGACACACCACACTGCAGGCTCTGGGGGCTGCCTTCAGAGAGGAAATGCTTTCTCCTAAATTGGTCAATAATTCATTAAATACCAACGACTGACAGAGGTCAAGTGATGAAATCTTTTGCAGCTTCAAGCACTGCAGTTAAGCGCCTCTGAGGCTGATGTGCAGGAAGAGTGCTGGAAGTCACTGTCAGACATCTCTTGAACATAGTAAAGATGGTGAGTGATAGAGTTACCATTATTGTCAGAGTTTTAAGAGATGAAGCACGAAATATTGAGGGTGTGTTTTTCAAGCCTGCAGCTTGGTTTTTCTAAGTAAAGAAGCTTCTCTTTTGGTATGGAGAAGTTAAGTTATACAGGACAACAGAAAGAAATGTTCCAGAAATTTCTAGTCTGCAATYGTTCTTCTACTTTAATTAAAATCAACAGTCATGCAGCTAAAGAATAAGGAACTACATTTGGACCTCCAGGGACAAAATATGTATTTGCTTTGTGAATATTTGTACACTGTCAGTCATCTCTTCAAATTTAGTTAAATAATACTGTCACACTCAACTATTTTCTGAAAATAGCTAACCTAACTGACCCCAAAACATGCAGTTTACGTCTCATGTTGAGCCTCCACAACAAGCCAAGCTGCTCTTTGAAATAGATGGCAATGGTTACACCACATTTTTCTTCTACYACCATTAAGCAGGCAATTATGAAAAAGTTAAATAAAAAGTGATAGCAAGGCCACAACTAAATAAATATATTTCTCAAATATAGCCTGTTTCATAATTCTCCTATTAAAATACTTCTTGTGACTGTGAGAGTCATAGGACTATGCAAYGTGATTTGCCAGATGTTGTAAAATTCATCATGCAAATTAGAGAGCATTCTGTTTCAAGATTTTAATTTATTAAGGCTGTAAAAGGACAGGGAAAATCCCAACTTTTATTCAATGCYCATTTTATTTTTGGAAGCTTTTGCTACTTGAAAACAGTTGGCAAAACCAGCAGTTTGATCATTTCTAGTATTCTTTGATATGCTGATTTTGGAAAAAGAGTATAACATGAAAAACATTAAACTATCTGTGATTTTGGAAATGAGAAATATCACTTTCAGTGGTTATTCCACAAATWTGCAGCCTCACTAGAGACCACTCATCTACACAACTACACGACAACAGCAAATTACAATSACTAAAATGCAAAAAAAAAAGCAAAAAAAACACACAAGGGAAAAGGCAACAGGAAAGATGAAAGTTTAGAACCAAGTCAGTCAGTGCTTTAATAGCTGTTTTGCAGACAAAAATGCTTCTTTGTTTAGTTCCAATGACTTACATGAAACAAAAGCTGCTGCCTGAAGCCACTATGCCACATAATTATGGGGAGAAAGGTTCAAACTCACCTAAGTAACATTTTAAACAAAAATTTTACCCTCACCTTGAGCCCTCAAATCTCCCGTTCCTCTCATATTCAGTCGGGAGCCTCAATGAAAAGAATGCAGAAGCAAAAGGAAGTGGGAAAGAGAAGACAAATCTTACACTACAATATACAATATCTGAGTAGTTGCTAAAAGATACTGCAATCATACCAAAGGTGTGTTAAAATACAAAACAACAAAGATGTAAAGAACTTGGCAGGTTAGGCCAAAGTCAGATGCAACATATTGTCAAACCAAATGGAAGTTTATAAACTAGTTTTTAAAATTTGAACAGTGTATGTTTATATATTAGATCTGTKGTACTCGCTGAATAAATCTGAAGCTCTAAAAGCAGAAAATGTGAAACTAAAGTTACAAAGCATATTGAAGTGACTGTATTACTTAGTAAGTATCTTGTAAAAGGAAAATAACTCTCAATTATTTTTAGGCTAATGTTATTTAAAAGTTTTATCTAGAATAAAGTATATATTTGAAAAAATCCTCAGAACAATTTACAGACAAGTCTGATCACTTGTGYATTTGCATGCAATTGGGATCTCAGGTGTTTAAACAATACCAAAATACATTAATGCAAAAGAAGATGAATATACATTTTAACAGAACTTTAAGGGGTAAATCCAGTATTTCTCAAGTTGTGCTAACTCCATCCTATTAATTCCCACACTGATGCATCTTCCCCTCCCCAGAACAAGCTCAAGCCTTCTGTCTTCTTGCATTGCCTAAATCTACCATTGCTGATCACTACCACCTATTTAAAGCCCAGGCTCAAGCAGAATTAGGGGGGAAATTATCTTCCTCTACCTTMTCCTTGTTGAAGGAGGATGGTTCAACATAGCAGCATTAACTCTGCTCAGAGGGATGCTGCCTGTACAACACTCTTATCCAGACTGAGGTAGTGCAAGGCATCCCTGAGTAACACGAACTGTTAGAGCAGTTTAGGTGGCAGGTGTCTAGGGACAGCAGTGTAAGACAGTAACCTTATTTTCCGACGCACAGGGATATTTATGTCAGGGTGTGTGGGGTGTTACAAGGTGTGATTTCCTCCTTTCCTTCCTTTTGAGGGTTGTGGTGAGGGATGAGTCTTGCAAGATGACTCTGACAGTCCCTGTCACAGGGGACATGGCGCTGGCACTGTGAGGGGCAGGGTGGCAGCACTGGCCACAGAGCTGGCCCAAATTCAACTCAGGTTCTACTGCAAACCTAAGAGAGTGCAAAGCTGCTCAGCTGTGAGCTGCTCGTGATGGCAGCATCCGACCAGAGCTCTGCTCTCTGAGGTACCACACAGCTCATGCTACAATGGGGACAACATCACTGACGAATGGACAGCTGCCACAAACAAAAAAAGATACAGAAAAAAATAGGAGAAAACAATTGGCAAGTCCCAGTACAAAGTGGGCAGTTATTGTAGCTATTTTCWTTAAGATCTTATACTACTTATTTATCTATGGTGGGTTTAGGAGGTGGAAAAAGATTTTTCATGTCYGTATATACAGAATCCATGAAATCAACCTCTATGACAGCTCTACAGGACCAAAAATAAGGGTGGCTGGGAACCACCACCAACTGAACAGATCCACCCCTTTCAGATGATTGTTTCACTGGGCAAAGCAACCAACAAGTTAGAAAACACTCCTTTACTGAAAAATTAAAAGTACTTGAACTGCAAAGAGCCTTCTGTGCTCCTATGAAGTGGAAGATGGCAGCTTTGTTAAGYGCTGCAAACATTTATGGATTTTTGTGGGGATTTTTGTGTTTTGTTCTGAAACTTGCTGAAGGTTGTAGAAAATGGGAGCACAACCAGTTTCCCCAACAATGAATAGCCTTGTCTGGAATCTGTCCAGAGAAGTCTGTAAGGAAAAATCCCTAATGATGTTCTGACACCCTTTTCAGTTTGAATTTATGCCAAAGTGTTCAGTTTGTAARCCACTGTACTCTAAATCTGAGAAAGGCCATTATTTACAATATCCTGCCACTTTGAAATAATAAACATTCTCTCATGGAAGTCCCTCAGAAAATCCTCACTTTGTTCAGTTTTTCCATGCATCAACGTTCCATTCATTGAGAAGGAGGAACTGCATTYAGTGACCTACAACCTCAAATGCAGCCATCATGCCAAGTTTAAGGGAGCTGTGCCAGTCTCTCAAGGTGCTCCCTCCTTTATGACAGACATAGTCATGGGCACTTCTACAGCCCAGCACTGCTGCTCTGGGAACAGCCACTTATTGTACTGCCAGGATTGTTCTGGTTGGGGTTTGTGAGCCAGATTCAGCCCTGAGGCTTCCTTACTTGCTAATACAATCTCCGCTTCTGTGCTAGTTGATGCTCTAAATTTTCTGCTTTTGCTTGTGTTTTTACATAAACTGATTTTATGGATCAAGGTGCTCCATGGTCTTGAGAATGGAACAAATACACAGAAAAGTCGTGTTCTCATTTGTCATGCCATGCCTACACATTATCTACCTTACGCTTTGTGAAGGGCTTTCACAAATCTGATTGTTTCCACACATCTGTCCCAGGTTATGCCRTGTTTCCTGTTCTTTACATCTTTGTATACTGTTTTAAAAATCCACGTAGATACATAAAAAAACTGTCTAAAAATATACTAAAACCCAACAAAAAGTGCAAGATGATAAAATAAGATCAATTTATGGAAATGGAGAAATGATGCTGCAATAAAATCCAGAACATTGAGTCATTTTTGCTGTCAGAAAAAAAAAGTTAAGACTTCCACAATAGGCAGATTGGCAGACAGTGCATAGTACAAGAGATTTTATACATATATATATACTCACACATATATATATATTTGATACCTCTGTGTACTGAGTACAGTATTAAAAATCAGCAGTTTAACAAGGAGTGACTGATTATCTACTTTTATTCAGCTCCCTAGGATTGTTGTTGTGGCACTATGTATATGTGCTACTAGGTTACTGTAGCTTTTTCAGAACAGTGAGCTCAGGTAGGATTCATAGCATATGCAGTCAGGAGAAACTGCCAAAAGCCCCAGCATGTTCASATTTTGTACCTACATACAGATCAGGTATGGAGGGACACCACACACACTTAGAATTGAAAAGGCACACTCTGGTCCTGTGTAGGTGGTGCAAGACTTTGCAAATTTCTTATTCAAAATGATACATTTGTGGAAGCTGTAGCAGTTCTTTCCACAATGGTCTAAGACTCCTGGCCTCAAGTCAAAGGCAATTTTTTTTTTAAATTGCCTAAAAATTACCCAAAGTCTCAAATTTAAACAGTAGCTCTCTTGTTTTAAGCTGTACTCATATTAGCATTTTCCCATCCTTCTTCAGAGCAAATGGAGAMGCATTTAGCTATGGAGGGGTGCAGAGATCACAATCCTTTGTTTTAGGAGTGGTCTGCATCCCACAGCTCATGATGCACGATGGGTTAAAGCCACTGCCACTGCTGACCACCACTGGTTTCTTTCCTTAACTAAGTTGTTGCATTTTCTCAAGTCAGCTGTGACAATGCCAGCYGAGCCAACCAACACCAGCTCCAAACACGGACATGTTTGGAAGAGCAGTGATTATTATCACCATGGCATGGAATTCACTCAGTTGATCGGGCAGGGTACCTTCAGCCTCACACTGTACATAATAAATCTACACTCAGGCAGCAATTTACATATCTCAGGACTCCCTAATCTAAGCACTTCCTTGAAATGGTCTGACTAACTTCAAATTGCAGTCACATGCACGGCCTTGTATTCTGAAAGTTAAAACAGATGTCTGGGTTTTGGCCCCATCTGCCTCGTTTTGATCAGTAGTAGGAAATTGGAAGCACCACCCTTTAAGAAGTTCCAAGAYAGGGTACAACTGAACAGGCTATTACAAGACTCTACTGGAAAATTTACCTGAACATCAAAATTGTATAAGCGATTTTCATGAATCATGGTGGATTAATAAGATATATAGCAGCTTGATTCATCCCCAGATTGCAAAACTAAATTCAATCCTTTAGCCTGAAATGTGAATCAGATTTCTGAGCTTTTCCCTTTCGTTAATAAATTTGCATAAATGTTGTACTTTTTGTTTATAACTGAAATGCTCTATCTGCACTTCAGCATCAATTCACTTCAAAAAATGCATCCCTTTTCAAAATAAATACACAGCTATTGAATCTTCATTCAATCTTCCACACAAAACTGTTCAACTCAACTGTGCTCAGCTGCAGGTAATACTTCAAACCTTTTTTCCTCTTAAATATCACAAAACAGAGAGATAATATAAATTTAACATCACTTACCTTTATTTGCTTGTAACCTTATGTTTTGTTTACACTTTCATCATTGTTATCAAACACCTCATTCTTCAAACATAAGCATGCTAAGTGTATTAGTACAGAGAACAGAATTACTTTGGCACTACCAACTCTATCAAAGAAAGAAGAATTCACAAGGCATGCTTAGCATCTTGTTATATAACATAGATGGTGCCACAGATTCTTAGGTATCATCATGAGTTAATGGATTTATTCTATGCTTTCCTCTGAAGAAAGAAAGTATTTAGTTCTCAGCAGGAAGTTTAGTTTTCAGAAAACCAAGGCTAGAAAAGCCAAATCTGTTGTTAATTGCAGGAGCCACTTTTTTTTTAAATATAAATAGATCCTACCTTTTGATAAACCTGAATGACATGTTTCTAAAAGAAATTAAGCCAAAATAATAATTAACAAAAATTTTTGTACAAAATAAATCGAAAAAGGCATTTAGAGCGAAACATGCAAAAAKATCTCATTTTAAATGCACAATTAAATTACACTTCAATACATTCTCAGTTTAGGCAGATGATTAAGGGTCTGAAGAGTCAAACTCTTGGCACCGCTACTTTCAAATTTTTCAGGGAAATATATCACCAGTATTTATTAYGAATTAAAATATGTACTGGTGTCAAAACACTTTAAAATTCAAAATCTCCAAGGTCAGGAAAAAATATGCTTGGATTTTCTTCATATATTTCCCATAGAAAGCAGAAATCAGTAACTCTAATTATATCTTGAGTATCTTCAGAGTTAGRCTTCTTCCTTTCTTCATAACATTAGGTCAGCCATGTTGTACCAAAAACTGCCTTAAATATTTAGCTATTTTAGTGGCAGAAGCTGTAACAATTGCCTACACCAGAACATCAGCAGTTCATAACCAAGATTTCTGATTCCCCATAGAGAGTACTATTGTAAATTAACAAGTTTTAAGGTTTTAAAAGCTTATTTAACAGGAAGAAACACAACCAGGTCCTTCAGTGGCACTATCCACTTCCTCAGTAGTTTGTACAGCACTGAATGTAACAGAGTCCCAACTGCAAGAGATCCTCCAAGTGCAAACTAATAATCTGTAACTGTGCTATTGTGTTACAACTGCATGTTTTTTTAATAAAGACCAGATGGAATTTAAACTATGGTCAAAAGTTGTGGGGAAAAACTTCTTCAAGAAAACCACACTGCACTGCAAAAGTTGAAACTCTGAGGTAATGATAGAAGTTTCAATGMTGCCTAAACAACTGAGTGAAAAGTTTGCATGTTCACAGTTTGAGTGTCCACATTTGGAACATCAAATGGAAAATTAAGTACAGATATTACAAACAAAAGTACAGAAAGAAAGAAGTGCCAAAAGGATGTGGCTGATTAAGACTTCATTTGACWTAAGGCAGATGGCTTAACACTTAAAAAATACTCAAATTAAACTTCTCTTTCTCTCAACATAAAATGTAGGGGAAAAAGCCCAAACCAAATTTCCTACTGCACACTATTTCCCAGGGAAGTGTTACCTGGCAGAGAACTGAGCAAATTAAAACACTTCTCAAAGGCTAGACTGTCTTGCTTTTGGTTTGCATGGAAGCAACTTCTACATTTTTAAAGAAATTCACTCTCTAAACTGAAATCAGCCATTTGTGAAAAACTGGAATCTGGCTTAGCATTATTTTGTAGGAATGGGAGACTACAAAGAGGATACTGAGAGGGAGCCATCTATAGTCATAAAACAGACAGGAAGGAAATGGCTTGCTGCTGACGTCRTATAAGCTTAAAACAAAAGCTAACAGGCCAGGATCAGAATGATCTTGTCCAAAAAACTTTACCTGATAAGGAGTGTACAAAAGCCTGCTGASTATCTTAAAGCAAAGACAAATAAGCCCTCGATTCTGCAAACACAAGTTRTGGAGATCACTGGTCTGAAGTATGCGGTATGGGAACTGACAGGTTTTAAATACAGAAGGGAAAAAATGTGGTTTTCAATGTTAGGGTTTGCAGCAACTAATCTAAATCATAGATAGATTTGAAAGTCCAATTAGATTAAGTGCAGGAGCAACACCTGCTGAAGCCTGAAGGCTTTGGTTAGACCTCCACACCAAACACAGAGTCTGCACATGAACTAAAGGCCAAAACAGGAATAAGTTTCTTAAGATTTGACCAGACTCCTGACTAGACTGAAACCCTAACACTGCCATTATTTTAAGATGRCCTGTGGCAGCGCTACTGCCAACAGAAGTTTGTGTCTCCTGCCCCTACACTTTCACCTGTAGTATTTCTATTTCTGTGTTGCCAGCAAGGTTATGCTGGAAACACTGATGGACTAAATGACTAGGAAATACAACCTAAGCTTCTAATGCTACATSAAATAGCTAGACTGGGATCCTAGTTTATGCCACCTACTGATGGACCACACAGCCACTGAGCATCTTTTCGACTGAGCTGAAATGTTTCATCTCTGCAGCATTCGTACTCCAGACATAAGGCTGAAGAGCACAGAAGAAACAGATCAAACTGTCTCACCTTTAATCCCATTTGATTCAACTCTTAAAACCAAATTGCTTTTGTGACCAAAATAGAACTACAAAAAAATCATAAGCAACTACATTTTAAATAGCAGAACTTAATCCATTAATCAGTGAAGGTATACAAAACCACCTGTAGCAATGAGCTACAAGGTATTTCTACTATAAAAAGGAAAAAACCCCCGAAACATTGCATTAGCATTTTAAAAGGCTTACCTTCTTGTTAGTTTTGAAGTTAGTTTACTGAAGAGGTTAGTGGAGCCCCGGGTGCGGGTCTGCGAGAGCGGCGTTGCCTCGTGGGACAGGCTGGGCGAGGCGGGCGGGCCGTTGTAGGTGGCGGTGCGGCGCTCGCGGAGCTGCCCGTGGAACGTGCTCCGGCTGGCCGTTCCTCTGGGGAAACGAATACGGTCAGGGGTGGTCGCACTGCTAATGCTGTGAGTTGAAGCAACGGGAGTTCTCTGATCGGGAATAGCGCTAGGGCAGAAAACAAACAAAAAAACAACGCTAGAACGCCTTCACACAGGTGCTGCGGCTCAGCAGGAAACACAAAACACTACGTTCTAMAGTAAAGCATAAGCAGACACTTTTATATAGGCCAGGGTTGGAAATACCAACATTATTACAGCACTGTATGGAATCAAAACTTGTAAGAAGTTAGGATTAAGAGGCTGCCGAAACAGAAACCTACATAGGCAGAAAAGTGCAACAGGAGTATCCTGGAAAAGACCAGATAAACCAGGCCTACAACGTTTCATTGAGAAGACTGATAAAAGAATAGACCGGTAAAGTTTCCTCCCAGGAAAGAGAATAGGTAACTTTAATGTCTCTCCCTCCACGTTCTATACATACATCTTTGAAAGTCTTGCTAATTTGAAAGTATCCTACACAAAATTCTCTACAAGCGAACCGCTCCAAGTAGCGAAGTCCTTCAGGATACACAGTTTAAGTCTCCCACAAACTTTGACAATAGGGAATGTCCAATACTCCTAACAATAGGAAAAAAATTAAGGTTCACTATTGCAGGATTATGTCACAGACAGCCTGACACACCACAAGACAAATGTAAACAAGACTAAAAAAAATGAAGAAACACACATCTTGTGGGCAAAATATACTAGAACAATCTAGGACTAAAATTCCACAGCACAAAGTTAAGAAGCAGTGGGTATAAGTTAGTGTCACAACGATTTCTGGTTCTTACATAGGCCTGAAGTTATCTGCGCCATTGTCTATTGGAGGCAACATCATCTTCGTGTGCACAGAGGCTGACATGGACATCGACTTCTGATGTCGCAGCCGAACACTGGAGAAGGATGTGGTACAAACTGAAGCAGGGCTAGCTGCGTAAGCGAACATTTCTGTCAGGCTGCGAGGGGGTTTGGGTTCAGGCAGAGGCAGAAAGAAGAGCATGATGGACCAACAACAAACTACTGCATAGAAAAAAAAAGCAAACTTTTCCTTCTATTAACTGGTTTATCAAAGAACACGAACTCTAATAGCCCTCCTCTTCTATGCAAACAGCAGTAACTRGCCTACACTCCCCTTAAAAAGCATCCTTACTTTACATGGCACTGGACATCTATGAARTGACCATGCTCTTACCATCAGCATTAGATTGCAGTGATACCCTCCTTGATGTACAGAACCTGAATAACTCAGAATTCTGTCCCAAAGCACTAAGATAAAGCACTGATATAACTTGTATTGCTCTTAACATTAAACAATGCATTAAAACCCCCACCAAATGCACTTTCTGAAACACACGTGATAGCTCCATTACTACAWCAGAATCCTTTGTTTTCACAATCTATCTGTGTTAAAAGAAATTAGTAAAAGTTGGGCGAGCTGTCATATCTGTCAAATCTACATCACATAACTGAGGACTTCACAGATACAAYTGAAACTGAAAATAATCATGATCTGTAACAACTCCAGAGAGGCCAAAAGAAAAAGGCTGCTAATAATGAACCTGTAAGTGTAGTAGGTAATGAACACACTTGCTGTTCTGTTAAGGGAGAGGAATGACTGTTGAAGAGCATCTTRTATTGCTTGACCATGAACATTAAATTCTCCCAATTACCATTCAGGCTTTGCAGGAAAGTATAGAGCAATATCCTAGCAGAATCGCCTGTAAGCTCCTAGCTGTATAATATGTGCAAATAGGAGCATTAAATTTATTTGTTTATTTAGGCTAAAATACTCTTTGCAGCCTTCACATTATCTAGTAGTGATAAGAATAGGAGAAAAGTGATTAGTCACAAATGTTTTGGGCCCTTCAGACTACGCCACCATTTAATTCATCTGAAGTTTGCTTTAAAAGGTAATTCAGAAATATTGCTCTAGGTTAAGAAATCAGTAATTCTCAGTGACAGTTTCATGACACTGCATGTTCACCTCCAAGTTACCTCATGGTTACATACATCAACTCAAGTCCTGTTACTGAAYTCTAATACATCAGGGTTTTACAGAGGAGAATGCTAATGCAGCTTCAAGTGTCAGCTCACTCACTTCTCCCAAAGCATCAGCACAAAACATCACACAGCTCAGACATCTGAACTGCTGGCTAAAATAGTTAGCAAAATGTACTTRGCTTTGGTTTGTTTTTAACTTTTCAGGATATGAAAAAACTTCATCTGAGTCACACATGCATCTCAACAATRCTGAATCCATCAGGATGACAACTATAAGCACCACTTACAATGAAGCCTTTGACACTTACACCATGGCCCAGCATTTACATTACCCCAGGGTATTCAGAAATTGTAAGAAAATGAACRTTCATCTCAAAACTAATACCCTGAAGTCAAGTAATTGGTCACAAGCCTCTCAAGCTCTTCTAGTTCCTTTCCTCTGCATTTGTTGTAAAACATAAAAAATCTAGTTTTACAACACAAGACCCAAGTTTCATTTAATCACCTGCCTCCAAAGATGTGACATCTAAAGGTGTCAATAAAGGACCTTCTCTTCCTCTGATGCTTTGCTAGAAATCAGCTTCCTTGGATTTCTAGCCTGAGAACACAGAACAGTGAACTAACAGTCACCAATTAGTGCCAAGGCTTATTAAAAATCTGAAGCTGTTGTAAATCATTTGTGTTACAAATGATTTAAAGCAATTGCCAATCATTATGAAGAGTGTTTCATGAGTCCCCAAGTGCGTTAATTAATGCTCAGGCTTTGGAGGGAAGCCAACAGAGTTGTCTCCAGCAGAATGGCTGTGTCAGCCACACAATGTGTTAAAGCAAAGATGGGAGACTTACAAATCTTTGCTTCTACCAGGCTGGCATGGGTTTTCAAGACTATTTTCTACAACATCAGGTCTACTGACTATTGATTCTTTAAAGTTTGCATACTTTCAGAAATAGTGCCTTCTCAGGATTCAATATACAAGATAAAAACGGAACAAGCAATGTTTTGACCCTTTCTCTACAGAAAAAATAGAGATTTTAAATGTATGCATCTTGCCTTTTGGGGTAAGTTTCCCAGGTTTTCACTGGGTCACAGTCAGTTTTTGACTGGGTATGGAAAACTTAAAATCCAATCTGGAACAAATACTTTACAGCAATTACTCCTGCCTGTAACATTTGGCAACAACAGACATTTCAAAAGCACAGAAGTAATTTTTAACGAAACCTTGTATACRTACAAAGCCTAGGTTCAACTTCAGMTCTTGCTTCACAGAAGAAAAAAAAGAACAAGTTTCTAGGGTAAACTTTCTGCCAAGCTGAGAGTACAATACCATTAGWGATTAATTCTGAAGAGTCAGCCCCATCAATAGCCATGTTGATTTTTCCTGCATTAAAGGTCCCTGCATTTCATGTGACCAGTCAATGCTTTACCCAGTTAYGGCAACAAAATACATTCAGATGTAAATTCTGAATTCTGTGCCAAATCACAGTAATTCTGAAATGGTGCCAAAATGAATATGGCAGTTTAGTATTGAAGGGTTTCAGACAATGACATGTCTCCAACTGTAATACAATTAGCMATTCATTCTCATTACCCTTCCTCTTTTTGACCATCTATAAAGAGTAATGGACATCGTAATCAAAAAACACATGATAAAAGCTATAAAGATATTTTTTACCTCACTGTGGAAATACAATTCCTCAGACATTTCAAAYGACCCAAATAAGGCTAATTTGTAGAAAATGTAAATTACGTTTTAAATATCGTATCAACAATAAAAGGTAAATTACACACGGATAACCAATTGAATATAAAATACAACTAACATAGCAGCCAAGGTCTACTCAATCTTAACTTTGAGATGAAGGTCTATATGTGACAAACCACAAAAACATCAGTTTGCTGAGAAACTCAAAGCTGAGGAAAAAAAATTACTTCAAAAGATAGCTCCTTATGAGTATGAAGTTACTCCCAAATTAAGGGAATATCTAAATCTCAAGCATTCCTAGTAAACAATACCTAAGAGTTTTTAAAAGTGTAATAAAGAAATTGTAGACAAGATATTGCAAAAATACTAGCTTAAGGATGAACAATATTTGTATTAAACCAAATAATCAAAAAAATTAAAAAATATCAAAACTATTATTAACAGAAAAAAATTTTTTTCAAAGATAGTTGGAAAAGAAAAAAGCAATTAACATATCAAATCAGAGAAAGGATAGTGAGCTTTAACCTCCACAGCTTGGTAACTTCAACAAGGAATAACCAATGAAGACTGAGACAGAGAGGCTAAGAGACAGTACCAAATAGCTGTGCTGACTTCACAATTCAGGTGACTGCAGGCCCAGCTGGCCAACTACACTTTTGACAGTCTTTAAAGTTATACTTGACTCTTTCCTGATACACTTTACATTTGCAGAAAGCTAGCAGGAAGAGACAGGGCCAAAATCATGTTCTTTATCCCTCTAGGCTTCAGGAATCAGACAGGGAACAGACAGGCTTTCCATTTAACATCACAACTTTTCCACTCTTCTTCATTAACTGGCAAAAGGAAGGGGAAAAATTTTGTGCAAAAAATGGCAGATTGTCTGCCAACTTCAACACAAGCGAGAAAACCAGTATTTTCCTCCCACCCTTTACAAAATATCATAAAATTAGGAAGAGGTGGAGAAAATTGTGAAGAGCAGGAGAGATGTACACATTCCTTTAAGTACCAGATATCTGGGTGCTCTCCTGGCAAGGGATAACTATTTGTTACCAGCTCTTGAGACAACAGTAAAATTCTCAGAAGGGTTGGAACTTAAAATACCTCAGCCAGCCAAAAAATCTGGTGGGATTTCTAAACTGCTACTCTATACCTGATACCTATGTTCACCATTACATTATTTCTGACAGCTCTTCTCAGTCTTCACAGGATGGCAGTAGATGTGACCACAATGCCAACATATGAAGTGGTTAGCTCCAGTTCCACTGTGTGCTCTAGTCAGGCTTTCATTCAGTAATGTAAGMAGACATTTGTTATTTCTCTGTTTTCACTCAGAATATAGAGATGCCCTGAGGAGGGAAGCAGCTGAGTTCTGTRAATCCTGGGAAACAATTAGACTGCCAGAGTATCAGCAAGGAACACTTGTAGTCCAACACAATGGACTATCACTATTTCATGTTTGCTCAGAAAAAACTACCTTCCCCCTGAGACTTTGCAGCAAAAATGGTATCTCAAATAATCCCAATGAAGCAGAGTTTAGAGTGAAATGCAAAAAGAGAATGGTTCAGGAGAGATGGACTTTGTAGTCTGACACTAAACAAGGCTCTTCTGCAAGTGTGTGCTGTTTGGCCACAGGAGTTCACAACAGATTTAAGACGAAGGCTGCTACAAATACTTCATGCATTTAACCAAAATYAGAAACTTCCTTTTACATTCTAAAGACTATAAAATTAAAGAGAGGAAAAAACCCAAACCCCAACATACTTACAGGTGATCCATAACCAAAGACCCGTACTCACCTTTCATTAAGAATTACATTAGAATATTACTGATTTTTAAATCAGGCATTACAATTTTTTTGGAAAGGTGAAGACAAGGGACATACACCATAGGAAGACATTTCATATACCTGTTCTCCTTGCCATTTTGTATCACTGAATGCCTATCAGCAGTGGTTCTTTCACTACAAACATAKGTGTTGCGCCGTGTCATTGCTCCAGGGGTAGTATTATTCTACAATTAAAAAACATAGGCTTGTTATTCCCCACAAAAGGCTTTTCTGAGATAAGTCTGCATATAATTGAAGGCTTTTCAATTAATGCTAGTTCTACACAGTTCTAAAACTTACAATAATTACGTAACTTCATATACAAACTCCATCTAGTATTTTTAAGGAATAATGCAATCAGAAAAAAAAATTCTAACAAGTTGTTCTTGTAATTCATATTGATGGCTCAAAATCAATATTCCTTWAAGTTTTTAATTACTAATGCACTGAATTACAAATTCTCAGCATATTAGCACTCTTCTACATCTGGATAGCCTATGTCTCTATAGCCTATTTTTGAAATACTTTACCACTTGTAGCTTGGAGAATTTTCCTTTACTTTAAAATCATACCCTTAAACAAGATAGGAAAAGCAAAGACTTAACAAACAAAWGTGGTAAAATTCAGTGGGAAGGTAAACATGGACTTTTAAGTATCAAGATGCTATGAAACACTAGACAAGTTTTTAAAACAGGGAAGAGTAAGAGACAAATTGCAGAGAATTTTAGTGYGACATTTTAAAAAATACACATTAAAATACAAGCATAATACACTGAGGASAAGAGAACCAGGGGAACTTAAACTACAGACCTTACTTTAGAGGGGAGAAAAGAAATAGAATTACTTTGCCTCTGTCTTTACAGAGAAAGAGGGTGGAGATATGCCCAAGTTGGCGGTCAATTTTCCAGGAACGACTGAGAAGCTATAGGTAATTCACAGATAACAGAATTATAAAGAGTTAGATGCAATTACTGTAGGAAAAGCATGGTGGTCCAGACAAACATGCACCCCCAGGTCGTAGAGGAAGTAAAAGCTGGCAAGCCTTTGTATTTTTTCTCCCCACCCCAAGAACAAAACACAGGAAACTGCATATGGTTGGAAAAGTGGAAAAAAAAAAAACCTTAAAAAGTTTTCTTTAAAGAAAAGGATCACGGGGCAAAGCAGGAAGCAAAAAAAGGCTATTAACTTCAAACATCACTTCTGGGAAAGTCTTGGAGGAGGCCAGCTCAAGGGAATGATTGGTCAGCAYCTGGATAAGCACGTTGAGTAAGGAGGGCCACTAAGAATCAGGCAGGGGACTTCATGCTCAACTAACCTTTTGGAGTTCTTTGGAGAATTATGCTATGACAGACAAGGGAAACTCAGCGGATTTAAAAAATATCGTTAAGAAAAGGTTTCGCATAAACGGTCACAGGAGAGAGTCATGGCAAGAAGGATTAAAAACAAAAAACAAAGGAAAAACTAGTTCAAGCACAAAAGCAGAGTAGCCAAACCTTTTTTGATTCCGAACCTGAAATAAAACTGTTAAAGTGGAGTATTCTTGATAATTAGCAAAAGCTCCTCCAGTGCCCTAAAGCAAAATATCTGCTATCTAGGGAGTCTCAAGCAACACATTCCCTGAGCTACATATTCAACAATAAGACCATCTTGTCCAAGAAACTGCTGACCTGTTGGTTACACAACTTTTTACGCAAATGTACAAATTAAAATGCAACAGYGAAGTGCACAACCTCCTGGTGTTAAAAAGTGCAAAGACTACCGAGAGTACTTTAGATCAGTAGAACAATTAATTAAATTCTAAGATGCATGCAGCTGTCTGAAGGGTTCTAAAGCATTCTTCACTGGATATCCCTTAGGGATAGGCATATGCCAAGCACCAACAGAAGTCTTCCTGGCCCTTTCCTTGTACTTCACTCCTTACACATCCCTTGCCTTCATATGTTCACTTACTTAAAAAAAAACCACACCACTGATTTTACCTTCCTCGGACATTTGTCACCACGCAAGCTCTCCTCTCTTTACTAAGTTTTCCAGCAACGAAAGCAGTGTAYCTAAGGTGAGGTTTTGTTTATATACACTTGGGAGGTCACACTGTGTAGGGCACTTTGTAAAGGCCTCACAAACCAATGGTACAGGTRAGTACTGCTTAGTGGTATTTGCAGATCCGGTTTGTTCTGTGTTCTGACCATACTAGAGGATGAAGCACCTAAAATATCCTACAATGGTCTTCTGGTGGGAAATAAGCACAATAACCAGTGGCTTCCTTCTTCCCACCTGCTCCTTTGAACATGAAATACTGGTTTCCCTTGAGAAGACAGTACATAACATTACAATGTACTATCATGTTGCACATCTGGAAAGACAAGATGGCAATCTCTGTTCTGGAGAAGACTTTTAAGACTATGTACTTTCAGGTTTAGGAGGGGACAAGTTTTGAGATTCGTATCTGACATTAGAAGACTGCAAGGACACACTTTTCCAGCTCATTTTGAAATGCAAAGATGRAAGCTTTAGTATACATTTTCCTCCTGTTTGGGTCAGATTTCAGAGATCAGAAAAGATTTAAGCATTTCAAGGTTTCAAATTTCAGTTTTAGCAAGAACAGTCCTGGTACTGGGGCCTTTACACTTTCTAGTGTATGACCTTYCACGATTCATCAAGGAAGCCCTTCAGCTGTGACTTTTTTGTTCAGTGAATCTACAGACTGTTAATCTCTGACCATGACTAAACAGCACAGGTGCACAGCACTGCAAACTGGYGTCAACAGCACCCCACTCACTCCCTGATGACTCCCTAGGGTCAGGGTCAGCTGCCTCAGTTCATCCTCATGGTATCGTCCGCCTTCTTTGCAGGAGGAGCTGACACAGCAAAAGCACATGTTGAGACTTGTGAGCACATGCACAGGGTCCAATCACAGTGCAAAGGATGAATCCGTGGTACAGAGCTCTCCTCTCTTCCTAGAGAAAGCCTTTTGTGCACTGCTCAGGCAGGCTGTTTTCCCATTAAGAGACACCAAAGYAAGGACTGATGAATAACTTTCAAGAAGCCCCGCTTCTGACTTACAATAGTGAACCAAGCTATTTACTTAAGAGCACTAGTATGGTATTTGGTCCTGGATGATTTTCCAAATGTACCACCTATTCTCCTCTTCCAGTTTTCTTAAAGCTATTCTAAGGGTTCTGGACAGCTTTATTACAACATTGAGGAAAAATCCRAAGCTCTAAGAAATAAGCAAGGAATTATTAAAATACAGAGTTACCAGTACCTGCAAAATATCCAATGCATGCAGCAGGTTTTTATTATTAATTTGGTATTTGCCCRAAAAGCTTGAAGATTTTTGATGCGTACTCGTTCAGCTTGCAGAACTATTTGGTTTACAAGAGTTTAAACACTCTGTCAACTTTAGAAGTACAGCTTGGAGGTCCTCACTCCAGTCCCAGACTTAGCTATCTGCTCTACAAGCACAACTCTTATCCTTAAGGGCAGGCTTATAAKCTTTGTTAGTTAATAAGAGTAGCACACAACTGACTAAGGGTCTCCAGCAAGGACTAGTTCTGCTGCTTTTGCTGTCCTGTCAAAATAATAATTGTTTTTGTAGAGTATTTTTCCACCACTTCAATGTTTTTTCCTTGTATTACAGGTTTAGGACTTCAGTGCTCAGTAGAATAGAAACTCTCTTCACCTCAAACTGCTTTCAACCTCAGGACAATGTGGTAACTCAAATAATTCTTTTCATTCTAGATGCATGCCAACACTGTAAGAAATAGAATTCCCTAAACAGTTGAAGGAAATGTGTAAAAAGTCAGTGCTTCCCTTCATTCCCAACAACCAGAAAGCCAAAGACTCATCTTCAGCAGGGTGAAAGAAGGTAAATAAAAAAAAAGAGTTTGCACTGTCTGGTGTGAAGAGCTATAAAGAGAGACAATTTTAAGTGCTAATTATTGAGTGACAACATAAGTCTGATTTCATGTTCACCACCTGGTATCACTGCTTGTAAAGGATCAGCTGGAACAGTTGCACACTGAGTCAGGGAAGTATCCTATGGTTATGAGCTGAAATTTTATTTCAGGTACAGTAGTAAGAAATTTAGAATAAGCCTACTTGAATAAATCTCCAGTATTTGGGAGTGGCTTARAATAGCAGATGAAAAGGTACTGATTGTAAAGTATGTCATAACTGTGACACACATCTTTTGAGTAAGGCACCAAGTAGAGTCCAAYGTAGGACAAAATTAATTTGATTATCCTACCTTTTTGAGATTCAATAGCTAAGGACTCTCATGGAAGAAAAAAMCAAATCTGAATGGTTTCTGGGCTGATCAAGAACAAAGGGAAAGTGTGGGGGACCACAAAAATAAAAATGTGTTCCCRAAAATCCTGAGTTTATGAATAACATTTATGAGCAAGAGCTGCTACAGTASATGTGTTTTTCCAAGGAAACCCATGGGCTCATATCCTCAAGCCAAGTCACTATTGCCACTGAGCCCACTGACAGTACACGGCCAATAACATAAAACCAGTTTCATTTCACTTCTTTTGCTTCAGTCTGTCAAAAAGCTGCAGCTCAGGAAATTCTGTTCTCATTTGTTGTAAGTAGTAGTGCTGAGTATTATGACCAAATAAATGAAACAGCTTTGGGGATAAGCTAAAAAAAAAAAAAAACACTCTGCAAGTTGAATAAAGGACTAAGAATTTTTTTCTTCTGAAAAGAAGGAAGCTCTTCAATACAAAATCCCCAAGTTTTAGAAATTAAATGTTACAAGACTGRAGCATTATTATGTGAAAACAGACTTCCAACTTTGCCTTTGTGGGAGGGACCACAGAGAACACAAGTTAAAGCCAAAATGAACAAAGGACTTTCTTTCTTTTGGCAGATTGCCTACTGCTAAACCATGTATATTCACTACTTTTGCTCCTTTTGTATGTTTTTCTTGTTGTTGTTGTGGTTTAGAGGCAGGTGGGGGAAGCCCACAAGGACAAAAGCCAGGCACACAGCTTTTGAATACAGGCTGAAATCCAMCTTTGAAGAGTTTTTAGAACTACATTTCTTTGATCATCTTAACAACATAACTATGACTTAAAATAGTGTGTTTGAGGACAAAGATTAGGTGGCTCCTTACACACGTGAAACTATAAAAGAGGATAATATAAATAGAGATTTCATTCTTTTGTGCAGAGGCCACGGAGTTGGTGATATCAGGAGTAACATAACTACCTTTTCTTTTTGTTTTACTTTTCTTTATACCCAAATTATGTCTGTTTACTAAGAGCTACTAATGCTAATTACGAATACTGACTACTTCAATACAATTAAAAAGTAACTTGAGTAGCCGACATCACAAGGAGAAAAATACCTACAACATTTACTCTTGATAAATGAAAAGTAAAATCAGCACCACTGATAAATCACAGGTTTAACATTTTTTTTACACTTCAAAAAAAAAATCCATGGTTTTGGTAAATAAACATTTCTACTTACACTAGGGACAGCCGAACTTTTCTTACGTTCAGGAATATCAGCCTTATTGGGATTGCTGGCATTTCCAAGCATTGGGCTAGCTGGTGCAATTCCTCTTCCTGCAACAGCACTACTGCTGGATTTTCTTGACTGAATTCCTTCCTCTTTGAGGTCACTGTCTGTAGTACTAGTCTGGCTTCTTTTGGGATATGCCACTACTGAGGGGATGGATGGTCCAGCTTAAATAAACAAAAGAAACAGGAAAAGGATTTTTCTTCTCAGAAGTGACTATTTTTCATCACAATGAAAATGTATTCACCAAGACAGTTAACACTGGGAATCAGGGTTGCAAAAAGGTAATTAAATTATTGAAACAGATGTATTTCAGGAGACAGTAAAATATTGTCAAAAACAATTCAAGGTGAAGATACTATCTGATTTCCATGAAAGTTTCATGAATTTCATGGAGGTTTCTAGTTTGGCTTGCTAGAAAAAACCCTTTAGAGTCATCTTAAAGACACTGATTCATTCAAACCAAACTGCCCTCATTAGCACAGTGCTGGCACACACTGGTCAAGCCAATTTCTGCCAGAAGTGGCAGTRGTTCACCACGAGCCTCCCCACAAACAACTGCTCCAGATACCTGAGAATGAGGARGCCCCTTCAAGTGTCCAAAGCTCCCTCTTGCTTTAACAGGTTCCCGCACACTGGGAAAAGCCTTTGGGTGTGTCAGGATTGTGTTTTCTGATATCTCAATTACACCTCTGGAGAGGTTACTTCAAGTTACATCAACTTCAGTTAGGTTTTTTTAATAAGAATGAATAAAAACATGTATGTATATACACAGACATAGAAATTACATATAAATACATAAACATATAAATATATATATAGCTAAAACATGCTATAACAGTATCAAAAATCCCAGTAACTGGCCCCCCAGAAGACTCACCAAGGAAAGCAACCTCTGAATGCACTTGAGGTATTTCAGTATAGCCTAAACTGGGATTCCTTTCATGAGTTAAGTGTCTGAGAAGGAGGATGTTTAAGACATTTAGAAAATCCTAATCTACTATACTGCACTCTCATTATGCAGAAGAGTTGTAAGTTTGTCAGTCATTGTTCTTTAGAAATTGAATTCCTGCAGGACAACCAAGTGACACTACCCTCAGGAAACAGGAAACCAGAAATATTGGCAAACTGACATTTCTTCAAGTTTTAGACACAAGTTGACCTACTAGTGTCAAAAGAAAACAAAAGCTGAACAGACACAAGAGCATGGGGGAGGAGTGCTGTGCTTTTCATGAAAAAGGGGGTTGCAACATTCTCTTCAATTTGTGTAACAAGACTTTGCCAGCACAGTCAGGAATGTAAGGGACAACAGAAGGCAAAACAAGAGAATTAAGTTGGTGTAGTCAGCATTCCTCTAAAAGCCCTTTTGAAGGCTTTYTAACAAACCCAATTAAAAATATCAGTTATTCACTAAAATATTTAACCACCATGCTGCACACTACACTGTTGAGATCCTCCTTACACTTGGGGGATGGAGACAAATCCAGAAACCGAATCCAGAACTGGAAGCCACTGTACTCTGCAACACTGAAAATGAGAAATGCTCACCGTGATCACTGTACCGCCGCTGTTTCTGGCTAGAAGATATGCTTCTCTGAACTTTGTGATGAGGAGATTGTCCAGTGCTATTATTAAGATCACTACTTGGCCTAACTTTGGCAAGTGAAAGATTGCTGCTGGAGCTTGAATCACTTGCATCCAACTACAATACAAATGAGAGTATTAAAACAAGGAGTTCAGACAAAACAAATGAAAACACCCACTACATTATGGGAGCAGAAGCAGGAAGGTGGAAGATGGCTCTGCTACATGGGAAATTAGTGATGGCATGGGCAGTTGCTTAGAGGTCCCACCTTCTTTTGAGTTGTTGTACAACTGTCTTAGGTAATACTCAGTGGAATTTGCAGCTCCTCAAAGGATAATCAGTAAAGAAAATCCATTTGTCCTTTCAGAACTCTCCCTTCAGAGTTCTCCAAGATTTTAACAGGAAGAGAGGATACACTTTGTAGAGGCCACCACACCAACTCCTCCAGCAAAGGAACCAAGAGCAGTTGACTGATGTTGAGCCCTCTCAGCATCATATGGAAAAGTAATCTACAATGCAAGAACTTTTTCAGGTTGGTCAGTCCTGCTCCTTGGTTTGTTTTTTTTTAATAGTTACAGCCGGCACATTCACTCTTGAGCTCCTAGACTAGACAGGACAGTACCAGCATACAAATTCTTCAGAGGAGTAACTGCTGAGCAAACAGGGCAGTTCTGGAGAGCCTACAGGCAAGAGTTTATTGGCTCAAAACCAGATGAGAACAATCTGCATCGTTTGCACTGCTGATGACTAGAACAACATGACTTTAAGTGCAATGGATTTTTGTGCAAGAATGCCATGCCTATATTAACTRACTTAATTTTTGCTTCTAACTTCGCTCAGGACACTTTCTGATTTGCTTCTTTGCAGTTTTAGGAATGGTACTTACCTCTGATGACTTCCTTCCTAGGAGTAAGTATGTAGCTGTGATTTCATCATACTTCATTTTACTAAGGGATTCTTGAATTTCTTCTTGAGAATATCCCATTCCTACCATGATATCTAAAACCAAACAGACATTCTGTAAGTAACAGAAACTCAGATGTTCAGGCTGGCAGAGTGTTCAAGAGAAAGGATGGAACATTTAAAGATTTAAAACAGAATTATTAATTTTGAGAACATAAACCTGATCAAGTGTGAGTTTTAAAAGATTAGTTACTTTTTTCAAATGGCAAACAAATACACAGTGGTGGTGGAAAAAAAACCCAACTCTCCCACAGCATGCAAACAGTATCATGTTCTGGAAAGAACTCTATTACCTATTCTTTTCTGGTCCGAGATGTCTAGTTCTGGTTCAACAAATGGTTTAAGTTCATCCTCCTCATGCCCTGCATTGATCCACCTGTCCTTCATAATTTGCTATGAAAAAGTAAAGTTTTGTTAGTAAAGTACACTTACCAGCAAAGAAAATAAGCTGTGGGAAGAACAACTTCTTTATATAATAAACACTAAGGTCTTCACTAGTTTTTATTTTCCAGAACATTCCCAGCACCTATTCTGTTTTGCTTTGTTCCAGTGAGCAGAATCAACTATGCACATCAAGGCAAGCTGCTCCCCAGTCAGCTGTTATTCCAGCTCACAGCTGAGAGCCAAAAGCCTGCAATGCAGACCAGGAGCAGTGTGACAACTTCAACATGTGCTGGAATTCCAAGCTCTGCTAACAGAAGGCCATGGAAGGCATGTTTCAGCTTTTTCTCTTCCATGAGGGTAAAAAAGGMAGGCAAAAGGTAACCACAGCAGACATTACATCCAGTTCACAACTGAACATGTGGAAAACAATGTGACTGATCATCCATTAATGCAGGAATCCACCAACTAACCACGAAGAAAAATTATATGACATAGAAAGTGTAGTGACACATTGATTTTGAAAGTAACTGGAGTTACGTGTGTTATAACCCCAGCAAACAATCTCTTAAAAAAAGATACTGTGCTTTCATCAAATATCCTATCTCCAGAACCCACTCCAAATACAAATAAGAGYGGTATGGCAATAATATGTTACAGCTCAAAAAGGCAGTTTATAGCTTTCTGATGCACCTTATTTGTGTCATTACCTCTAGAGTGCCTCTTTTTGTTGGGTTTAGCACCAGGAAACGTTTGAGGAGGTTTTCACAGTCTGTGGACATGTAGAAAGGAATCCTGTATTTTCCCCTTAGCACTCTTTCTCTAAGTTCCTTGGTAAGAGAATAATAACAGACAGAAAGTTGTAAGCATCAAGTCACTTAAAATATTAGATAAAATCTTAGATAAACATAGACAACACATTCTACAAAAAGCTACCTTTAAGTTCTGTCCATCGAAGGGAAGAGATCCACTCACAAGAGTATAAAGAATAACACCTAAACTCCAAACATCTACTTCAGGTCCATCATATTTCTTCCCTTGAAAGAGCTCTGGAGCAGCATATGGTGGGCTGCCACAAAAGGTGTCCAGTTTATTTCCGACTGTAAACTCATTGCTAAAACCAAAGTCAGCTATTTTAATGTTCATATCTGCATCAAGCAATAGATTTTCAGCCTGGAAGAGAAAGAATGGTTTGGAAGATGAATAAAATACTTGATTTAGAATGCTATTGTTGCTTTTACTCAATCTTAAAAGGYAGGAAGCTGAAATACCTGTTAACATTCCCTTCCTGGCAAGGTCKTTAGGTGTGCTTAATCTATCATTAGCATATCCTGTTTTGAAAAATCTCTGTTCAATGGCTCCAGAYTATGGGAGCTGTTATATTACCKGGAAACTKTTTACCATCTATTTGTTTYCTTCACAGAAATTTGATCTTACATTTTGATCTATTCAGATGAAAACAAGATATAGTCTCACTATCCATACTTGACAGCAGGGGGTATTCTTGCAGTAGTTTGGTAATAAACATAACCTTTAAACTGTTTTCAAGTGTTCTTTTTGGGTGGTGGTGGTGCTGTTTTTTAAGTTACAAAGCTATGTCAAGTCTAACAAATTAAGTAGCAATATTATTAATATAAAAGGCACAGTTTAAAGAAGAGATATGATYTTTCAGGCCAAGATACAAAGAAGCCATACTTCAGTTTCATTATCACTACTGGTAATTCATTCTGTTGGACACCACCTCTGGTCATATCTCTATCAAACTACCTCTTTTTAAAAAAAAGAAACAAAAAGATTTTTCAGCTATYTCTGACCTATATCATATCTGAATGTGACCACCGGGTGAGAATCATCTTTCAGCAGCCATTAAATGTCTGTATCTAAAAGCCTTATAAATCCTCTTCCTTTTATTTAAATTGGTTCTAAGTGGCAAATATTGCTCAAAACTTGCTTTAACATATGTAGAGAAATAAATAAATCAGAAAGCTCAGTATAAACTCTTATTTTATACACAATAAAGATCACACCCACAGGTACAGAAGCTGACACACATAAACTGCACACACTTTTTCCTACTCACCTTGAGATCTCTATGAACAATATGTTTTTGATGGCAATACTGCACTGCAGATACTATCTGGATAGAAAACAAGCCAAATTATGTAAGTGACAAATCAAAGAAGCAGGAACTTTAATCAAAGATTTCAACATTTATTATTTAAATTGACGTGGAGTTATCCAGTCAGAGCTACACAACCAACCACTACAGTGACCAGTATATTTGGGAWAAAGCTGCTGAATAACTTCGATGTTATTTGATCTATTTGGTTTCTCCTATACTTGAACGAGGATTTTGTTTTTCCTGTGTGGCTAATTATAGACCAGTAGAASCAATGACTTTCAGAAAGGTTACTGAAGTGTTTCCATTCCAATACTGTATACAGCTATGAAAGCTTTCCCCCTAGACTGAGGTTTTCCAGGCCCTCTCCAGAGGTGATTTTTCATGCCATGCCAGAGAGAAAAGAGTAAGAAATGGGCTCTAATTACTTGAGAAACTACTGGGAAACAGCCTGTTTGTCAAAACTTATGCAGKGAGAAGCAACTAGGCATCTGACAGAGATCTGCTGTCGAAGTATATAAGGTTTAGTGTATTTTGTATACCATAGCAAGCTCAATGGAAAAACTCCCTTGTATCTCTCAAGTGTAATGGAATAATTTCTTCCATCATAATTTCCAAATATCATAAAGTTTTTCCTGCTTTATATAGCAAACCATATAAGCTCTTTACACAGTGCTGTCCCGACATACATTGCTTAAGAGTCATAAGAATTGCTGCAGAACTCAACACGTATGGAAAAGCTGGATAAAGCATTATTCWTGCATGACCACAAATGCTGTCAAATGCATTTTGTCACACATRCATGGTCAGAATTGAGGCAGATGTTATGATTTCTGAAAATAAGTGGAACTGTACATAAAAATAGTTGCTACATTTAAATAAATATATTTTCAGTATTCATTCATGAGTAAGAAGACCTCCCCAGCAGAAAGATGAGGTAGCATTACTGTTACAAGAAAATAACACAGGATCAGATCACCAGCTTAGTTTAAGGATCCTCCTGTAGTGGTAGGGAGCAAGGATTCTCTCCCTGAGTATTCAGAGCCTATGAAAATTCTTGGTAGGTTCTTGTAGATCAAATAACTGATGCACCAGTAAGTTTTGTACTTGAAACATAAGGACCAAAATGATCTTTATGCCCTGTATTATTGAACTGCTCACATGCAAAATGTCACCTTAGAAACCAAGCAGTCTACGGAAAGTTGCTATTTCCATTCCCTACACCTTCATTCTGGTTTTGCTTGYTCATTTACATACTGGTTCCCTCTTTCAGACTCCAAGTGCAGCTTTTTGCAGTTACTGAAACTGCCAAAGTGCTCACACACCACCATTTGCCCCTCCTTTTTGTTTCCCTTCCTTTTCTCTCTGCTACCATTACCTCAGTGCCAGTCACAAGCTCACTCTGCAGGGGCTTCCAATGCTGGCAGCATGACAAACACCTCAGGCTTTATTCAGGATTGCAGAGACACAGCACAATCCCCACTCACTCCTGAACTGCTTTATTGTGACTGCCTAAGAGCGGAAGGTGGAGCAGATGATCAATCAGTAGTTTCYTTCGGAGATGCTTTTGAACCACTCTGCATTGCAACAGGATGGCAGAGAGACTGMAGGAGTGAGTCCAATCCACACGAAGTGAAATAATGCAATGTATAGGACATTAATAATTGAAGAACAGCAGTCATAGCTGAATGAAAAATAGCACAAAGCTATTCAGCTAATTCAGTCACCAGACTGAATTCCTTGTCTTCCACCTTCCAGCACTGTTTCCATTAACAGGTCCTAACCTTGTGTGAGGAATTTTCTGACACTTGGCAGGTGAGCAGAGGAGGGGAAAAACCATCTGAGCTTTTGTTAGAAGTAACAATTGGAGCATTGAAAAACTTTCCTAAAGAGTGATTTAAAAGAAATCTATGTAAACATAGATTTTGAAGAAGCAGTTCTCTCTAGGCAGAGAAACCATTCTCTACCAGGATTAAATGACAAAAGAATAGGTAAATGACCTCTCAAGGCCCCTTCCACACTGCCAAGAGCATTCTCTTGCTTTACTGGAACACAACAATAAGATGTATTTTGTGAACTTTCTCATTTTCCAAGATCTGTCTTAACATCTACCAGCATTAAGAATTCTAAATTGCTTCAGCAGGGAAACAGTGAGAAGAAGACTGAAGGTGGCCAGATCTTATTGCTTGCAGAAAAKAGGGAGAACTAATACACATGAATTTAAGGAGACTTGCTGTTCTGCCTCAGATTTTTCTGTGGAAAAAGGATGAAACTGAACCAGTTAGAAGTCTGTAACAGGGAAGAAGAATAAGGTGACATTAAGAATGCAAAACATTCTCAAATTGAAATAAAGAACTGTATRGCATAGTTGTATTTTTAGACTTTGTACCTTCTCCTATGTTCTCTGTCAAGTGCAACCAGAATAATATGATTAYTGTCTTTTACATTCTATTTTCCTGCTAAAAACCTTACATATATGTAACAAAATGGACTAGAAAATAGTCTCATTTTATTTTTAACAAGCAAAGAAGGGAGAATTACAGAATTCTGCTCTTTGCCTGCTAGAGAGGAAGTGTCTCCTCAGACAAAACACAAGTGTTTGATACAGAAATCCCATCTACTGAAAGAAGAAGAAACATGATCTGAAAACAAGATATAATACAACCTATTGTAAGAACTAATCTCAATACCATGGCACAACTGTTTCTTCAGTTTAGAAAGAGCCACTGTCTGCTAAAACAGTTAACAAATTTAAAAAAACATACTCTTATGTCATAAGTCTCTAACAGAGAACAGCTGCACTGCATCAGATAAAAGGTCTGCAGAGTGAATTCTTTCTCCAACAATGGCCAAAATCGATATGAAGCTATTCCAGAACTACAGTAAGGTGAAATGAATAGTTTTATGACCCATGAACCCAGCAAGATCTCGTTTCCTTTGACACTGTTCCTCAGCCTGAGCTTTAGCATCCAATAAAATGCCAAGCTCTGATCAAAGTTACCTGACTTTCATCCTGCATGAATGCTCTTCTCTCTAGCAAAGCYCAATCAGCTTGTGCTACGGTTTCTCTTCTCTGCATATTTCTAAGGTTCTCTCTTTTTTTTTTTCCCAGGAACTGAGGCTTTTGAAGCTTTCAAGAACCTCCYTTCTTTGAGATCAAGGTCCTCTAAAACTGGTTAAGCTAAGCAGCCAGGAAGTCAGCTGTTGTGGGAGGACAGAGCACAGCTGTCTGCACCAGGAGACTTTCAAGAAAAAACTGAAAAGTGTATTCAAGTGCATACAAGTGAGGCCATCTGTATCTTTATAGACAGCATTTATTCTCCTGAAATATAAAAAACCTCCAACAAACCAACTCAAAAAATTTTCAAGCTGAGAGTACATAAAACCAATTCTTGATGARTCAAATACCCAGCTCAGGAGGTAACTACCTTCTAAATTCTTTTCCTCCAAATTTCTTTTTGAAAATGAAGCTAYATATATCCTGTACTACCCACATTAYCCCATAAAATTAAACACCAAGTGTACCTGTAAAACATGTTTGACCTGTTTCTGTAAGTTTTCACTTAAATGGGAGTCAAATTGTTAGGAAAAAATAGGTATTTGTTGAAGAAACATGCAATTTCAATGTAATTACTGCAAGATCTTTTTCCACATAGCTCCTGATAAAAGAATATTAGGACTCAGAGCAGACACTGTATCAGTAGAAGTTTTCAATATTCACATCTGACAGAGAACAGTCAACCCTCTCAAGTTACTCTGAAGCTCTTCAAGTGACATTACAAAGGCAACAGCCTGGGATTTAGAAGAGATGCTGAAGTGGGAATGACTATTCCACATCCCACCACTTCCACTCAAAGACAGCACAGAAGCATGAACCAGAAACCTTCAGTCACAAAGGAAAGCTCTCTACCTACCAGAATATGAAAGTGAAGGAAGCAGCTTTAAAAAGACATACAAGACTTTGTTGAAGAGTAAAGAAAAATTTTCCTTACTATCAAGCTGTATAACTTCAATAATCACAAATGACTTCTGGGTTTATGAAGTCTGCAGTTGCTTTTGCCTTGTTTTGTTTGTGTTGTGGTGGCTGTTTTGGTGTGTTTTTTTCCCCAAAAAAAAGATTTTAAAGGGTAAATAAAAGATTTAAAGAGAAAAAACAAAGGAAATCCATTAATTTAGTTCCTGAAAGTCTCATATCTTATATCAAATTTCTTTTACGTATGGCTATGCTTAAGAAGTGAAACTATCAGAGCCTCTCTTTCCAGTAGGGAAACCAAYACATTACTGCCATGATCCAGCAGTTTAAAATCCCTACACATCATTTAATAAAACACTCTTGTCCCTACTCATTATTTTCAAGTGCCATTAAGAGCATAATTTTGCTTTTATGTCATAATTTTGCTCAATGTCATGAAGAGCATTTATTATTTTTCATAACATTACCTAGGTTATCCAAGTGACCAAAGGGAAWAAGCATTTACAAATGCCTGCACAAGAGCAGAGAACAAGGGTATCAGACCGGTCAGATCTGAAACTCTAGAAGATGCAGAGAAGACATTTGGATTTAAATTAGTTATGCAAAAATATCTGGGAATGTTCAGTACTGTTTTACTGTAGAATGGAAATGCTTTTTACAGATCAATGAAATTCCAACATCTTGGCAGGGCTACCCTATCCATCATAAAGAAAGCTAAACTAACAAGTCTAGAAACTACTTTTCTGTGACTTTTTGAAACGACTATTAAACAGTCYCTTCTCATGTAAGCATATGGATGTGAATGGATCCCTATTACATGACTGTCTGCATTTTGAAACTGGCTTGTTTGTAGCCTGTTACTCTTGAACAACTTCCAAAATGTTACAGACCTGCTGAGCTAAGGACATATAAAAGTAACCCAGAGGAAATGCATTTTGGAATGAATACACTTCCAAACCAAGCAGAMTCTGTGTTCTGGCACTCCTGGACATCCTGGCACTCAGCACTAAGGAAGCCAGCACCAGAACAGACTACTGACTCCTTCAAAGTACTACTGTGACCTAAGTTTTTCCTTACTCAGAGCTACAAGCCCACAGCCTGCTGAACACTGCTGTAAGTCAAATGCAAAGGACAGCTGTTTTACTCTTTTCAGCATTAAAAACAGGGGTGGGGGGAAAGCTGACGTATTGGAATGTKATACATACCTGTCTAAATTTAGCTCTAGCCTCCTTTTCCTTCATTCTTCCATGTGCAACCAGATAGTCAAACACCTCCCCTACAATTCAATAACGAGATACATTAATGCCAATTTCAGAACGTAGAGATTCCTCTCCAGCAGTTGCCCACAGCAGCTTCACTGGAATGACTGTACTTTGAGTTTATGATTACAGGACAGCTCAAAAGAACAAGGCACAACTGCTGTGCAATTTACTACACCATCATCTCTTTTCAAGAAAATAATGAGTGACTGGATATACATAAAGGAAACCATTTCCTTCCAATTACTTAGGATAGAAACTGAGTAGCAAGACAACATGTACTCCTTCACAGACTTTCTCACAAGAGTTTCTTTTGCTTCACAAAAAAATCTTCATATATGAGAATATAAGGTACCTGTAAATACCATCATACCAACACTAGAATTTTAATTTATAWATAAAATTGTTCTGAACAAAATCAGATACCTTGGCTTTAACCTAGGCTTGGAGAAGTACCCACAAGGAGGGTCACAAGAGCATAGCAGGACGTGCTGACATAATCCCTCACACAACCATCATACCTGTAAAATACACTAAACAAGCCCACTGTTGTATGGCTGTGGATGACTAAAGATTACTGAAGACCTACTGTGTTTCAGTTTTTCCCCTCTACCAGTGTAGTAATTTCAGAACACATCAATACAGACTACAATGTTTGAACTTTAGGTGCAGACCASTGTCTCATAAAACATTGCCACATTTGTGAAAGCACGGGAGGTCTTCTTTCAATAGTCATCTATATAAAGATCTACAAACACAGAATRATAACACAGTTTCAAAAATTCCTTGCTAGTATTCAAAACCCATAACAACTTCAGAAGTGGTTCAAATATTTAAACATTCCCTACAGAGTAAGGAAACACAGATTTGTAGACAGCCACCTCACAATGGAAGAGCTGAATAACACCATATTTACTTTTTTAAAAGAAGCAACTCCACCAAATTGCAATAAAAAGGGGTCACACTACAGGAAAAGCAACAACTGAGCCATCTGAGGGAATATCAGGACTTCCTATAAAATGGTCTTACTTCCCTCTGCAGCGTATTCGTTAATACTCATCTCAGATAACTCTCTCAGCTGTATTTCACTGCTGTTTCTTAAAAAACCTGGAAGCAGCAARCCTGAACACTTCTTCACAATTCAGGGAAAAAGACACTGGAGAAAGAATTATCCCCAATTTATATGAAACGTTGCAGYTGCAGCAACAGTAACTTTCATCCTGCAGCCAGAGTTCATGTGCATCACCTCTGCCTTGGTAAAGGGGAAATAGGGGAAACTGACACCTGCCACTGTAATTACCAGCCATTCCTGTGCTGCCCAGCATGGCACATCAAAAGCTACTGCTCTTGGCCTTTTATTTCAGTACAGTATTTATATCTTTCTTATCACCCTATGAAAGGYTCTCACTCCTTTAGAGAACCACTGGCCTTTCCACCTCCTAGAAGCCAATCACTAGATGGCAATAGGACTTCACTTTTAAGTCTAATACCATCAAATAGTACAGAGATGTCTCCCCAAACACCTGTACTAGTCAACATTTTAATGGTATAATACCCACTCTGTTCCTGATTAGCTAAATCTTGGCTGAGCATTTAGGAACCTGCTGGAAGAAAACAGGCAGGTAGAGAATCTTGCTCTACTTGGAGCAATTGACTAAACTTCACATAATCCAATGTCAGAATCAGAATTCAAGGCTGATTTTCTCGGGAAAGAAGTTTATCAACCTTCCTAAAACTGAAGAAAAACCTCAACTGTTTGAGATTCCCAGATGCTGATGCTAAAGGGTCACACTGACAAGCTGAGTGCTATTAGGTTCTAGCCAGCAAGGAGTAACTTAAGCCTGAATACCTTAATTCTGGCTGTGGTGAAAATATCTGACACTGCATGGTGTGCCCTTTTCCATCCCCTCTACAATCAGGAAAAGCATTTAAAGTTCCTCCTAAAATGGCATAAGGCTAAGCCTAACAATTCTTSACAGTAGAAGGCCTATGATTAAGATATGAAAGATGTCATCAACATCTAAAAACAGAAGTTGCAGTGCCCATGCTTTTGTTAAAGAAACACAGAAATGTTTCATCTGAACATGTTTTTACAAAATATCTTACACAAAACAGGACACCAGATGTAGGGGAACTCAATACAATMAATTGAGAAGATTAGTATTTGATATGGGCAGGAATGTACAGTGGCTAAGAAAAGATTCTCAATTAATTTGAGTTGGGAAAACAAAGCAAATATTACTAAGTTGTAGTAGGTTTTACAAGTTACATTCACTATTTAAGTTGACCAAACAAGTCCCAGTGAATATTAAAGATTTTGTTTAACATTTTACACTACTTTGACATAAATATTTGCTGAAAAAGCAAGCAAAACTTTCAAGAAAAGAAGTGCTTCCTCTCACTCAGCAATTTGCTTTCGTGTGTCACTGCAGTAGAGAGGTACTTACCCCCACTTGCATATTCCATTATTAAATAGAGAGTTTTTTCAGTTTCAATGACTTCAAATAGCTTCACTAGAAAAGAAAGACATTTAGTCATCAGTTAACTAGCTGGAGAAGTATTATGTTAAACCCCCAGAGAAATCTGTCTGAGAAAAATACCCAAACTATTTGCTTGCCACTTGATARTATCAGACTATTCACTMTGAAGAAGCTTTTTCTGTTGAACATTCCTACATAGAGAATACTGTAACACATTTGGTCAACTCATACAGAACAATATTTTGCTTCTGTTAYATAGGAACATAATTAAGCACAACYTGCACAGATTTGAACATCAGCCATAACCACTGTTGTGTTTTGAACTGACACAAGTGTTGACAAACCAGTGATCAGTCAGACTGTTGACAGTCCCACAGCAATACCACATCATTTAAATGTAAARACTTGAAAAAACTCTTGACCACTTCTTGGTTTTGGTGTATATGCTAATTTTTAGTGAGAGCCTGAATTCAGTCAAAAATCAATACTATAYTCAAAAAGGACAAAATTATCAGTTACCTATGCAAACATCAGTTCCGTGCAAGGGGATCAAAATGTTTATAGTCTATTATTTCTTTTCAAACACACAGTTCTGAAATACTATTTACTACTGCTATCTTACTGTAAATTCACACTCTAGTGCAAAATAATCTTTTGAACTCATACCACAACAATCTTAGCAGTGGACAGAAATGGCAATTATGTGAAAGAAACAAGGTACCTATATTTGGATGATTTAAGATCTTCATTATTCTTACTTCTCTAAAGAGCTGAAATAAACATAAAACATGAAATAAGTTAATTAAATCACTAACAAATGGTCATTCTTTGTAAAGACTAATGATTTTGATATAGTTACTTAAACACAAAAGGCAAACATTATTACCATTTCAATCACATTCATGAAATAAGTACTTACTGAAGGGAAAAGTTAAATGCCTGCTTAACACACCTCCCAAACAAATCAACCCTAAAAAAATCTGAAAACACCCATGAAGGACTCCAGACAGCTGTGGAAAAAAGTGACCTTAGCCCTGTGGTTTGTAGATTTTCAAGAAGACCATTGTGAGCCCACGCAGCTTCCTRCTGACCAGTGCATCTCACACAACTTCCATTCCCTTCACAGAAAGTACAGTTCCAAAATTTTATGAATCCCCACCAGAACACCTTTAGAAGACCCCGGTGAATTCAGCATTCTTTAGTACTTTGCTGAAGCCCAGGAATTACTGTGCTACAACAGCAGCTCACAGGTGAAAAACCAGCTGCTTCAATTGTGCAAAAAATCATGTTATCCAACTACACTAGCAAGTAGCAAGTTCTAAGGAGAGATGGGAAGACAAGGCCACCCCTCAGCCCTTCAGAATGATTCCTGCAAGGCAACTGAGACACAGCAGCATCCAGTGCTGGCTCTGCCAGCACAGCTCCACTGACTCACTGCCAGACACAGCCCCAAGCCTGCCCAGCAGYGCAACATGTTGAAAGTACTTGCCAAAATTAATAGGGCAGAACACAAACGGTGTTTTCCTGACCCCATGATGCTGCTTCTCTTTATGCAAGCACTGGTGTTAACCCTGACTGACACACAAGGTCCAGGAAATAATTTAAAAGAAAAATCTCACAAAACACACAACACCCCCATATGAAAGCACTCCATCTCTAGCTCACCCCAGCAGGATGGTGGTGAGGGACAACTGCCCATTTCAAGCTGCAGCATGACATTATATCCCCTGTCCTAAATCCAGAGACAGTGCACTGATCGTAAGGACATTGTCATGTTCCATGTCCTGTCTGTCCCTCCCCCACTGCCAATACTCGTGTGAAGAGGGGTTTGCTGGAGTAACTATTCTGAAGATTTCAGCTTTGCCAGTCACACAGATCAAACTGCCCTTCTGCAACTGAATGAAAATATCAGTGACATTTAACAAACTAGAAATGAAAGCATGGTTATTATTGACCAGTTGTGAATTATTTCCACCTCTCAAAACTCTTATGCAAAAGGCCATTGTAAGATTCACATACATTTTTAACTGCAATACTAAAAATGCCACAGGTGGTATTACTGCAACATATAACAGTGCTTTTAACAAAGCTGGTAAAGAGCAGATTAGTTAGAAGCAATTCCAAGATAAAATACTGTAACAAAAAAACTTGAAGTACAAATACTCTTGTATTCAGAAAACCAAAGAATTCTCTTTTTATGAACTGCACTAAATGGCAGTCGRGTGTGGAGCTGYTCTCCCTCTGCAGATCCCCCATGCYAGCCCAAGACTCCAGAGGGCTGATGTTCTTAGAGTCAATTATTTTCTAACAGCATGCTTCAGGAAGTGGGAGTAATCCAGAGGTTTTATTAGAAAACTAACTCAAATTTCTACAGGAACACCAGTAACCTAACAGATCATGTTGAACATAATGTAAAGAGACTGAAGCAGACTGGAAGTCCACAGCTCCAAGGGAATGCAGACATAGGAAAAACACAAGACTTTTGTAAATATGAGATAGCAGCATTGCTATTAACAGTAAGGAAGAAAAAGTGCTGCAAGATTTGTCTCAGGTCAGATTTCAGATAACGTGAAGAAATTTGGAATGTCTACACATAYTAGTAGTAACTCAAAAACTTGTAARTGTATTACTCATTAAAAACAAAAAAAGGCGAAATTTTGTAATTAAAAAAGGTGAAACATCAGAAACAAACAGAAAACAGCCAAAGAGTCAACAAAACAAAATCCTTATGCCTTTGTGAATTTTAATAGAAGAAAATGCAAGGAGTGSGTTTGAAATAAATCAATAGGGCAAATTCACAATTTGGAGACCTGTTGTCCTAACCACTCTCTGCTTTCTGGTATTTCAGAATCACASAATTTCTGCAAAGGCCAACACCTGGGGAGCAATCCTCACTGGGCTGCCCAGGAGACCTTCTCCCTGTTACAGCCACAGCTGGGATTGGCACASTACCTGAATACAGGGAAAAAACAGTTTTCCAAATGCTTTTAATTATCTTATTATCCAGGTCTATGCCTGACACTTTGCTAGATGACAAGCTGCTTAAATGCAATCACGATTGATYGATCAAGTAAATTACTGGCCATGCAAAATAGTTTCAAACCTGTGCATGCATGTTTTCTTTATCCTCCAGAGAGGTAAAATTGCCTTCTTTTCTTTTTTAAACTATGTTATTTCTGGAGCTTTTTCATATGCAATTAGACAAGGTAGACTACATCATYTCTCTCTTGATCATCAGAAATTTAAAAGCAGTTGAATCTACAGCTATTCTTTTCTTGCTTTTCATTCATTTCAGCTAAACTGGTGTATAATATATTCTGAATACTCCATTAATACTTTTAATCACAGCTTATATAACYGAAAGCCTCTTATCAGTTTTTAGAATTTTGAAAACAGTTTGCTTAATTCACTTTCAATTGATACCTGATATCTTCCACCTCCAATACCCAGATAAAGCCTACTGGGTCACTCTCTCCAAAACACTGGTCCACAAAATGACTTTCTGCTTTACTAACCCAAATGAAGCATGTCAAAAAGCAGCTTCTACATTATGAGCCATTTGTTCAAGTGGGTGAYTTGGAACAAGCTCTTTTAAAAAACAGACTATTTTTGTCTCAGAGGAATTTAAAAATAAAAATACTTGTGAATAGGATACAACCACCACCAAATTGTAATTTCAGTTAGACAAATCCACTTCAGACTGTGCACCCTTAGTCAGTYTGTCTGTTATATGTGGCATTTTGATGCAGACAGAAACTTCCACAGGGGTATCTGCAAATGCCTGACACTGTATTATGTATTACAGCCTATTTCTCACAGAGGAATAAAAGGTAGAACATCATACAACTTTCCCAAAGTATGCTGGATAAAGGTTTGAAAGATTTAATTCCCCCCAAATATTACGTGCATCAGCTTCTAGGAAATGACATGGTAACTATCATCACACAGTAAAATTCATTGCAAACAGCCAGGTATGATAAAACCTCACACCTCTGAGGTTCCCTGCCCTCAGGAACATAGAACAAGGTGTAATATCAGAAAATGTAACATGAAGGTTCAAACAGAGAAAATTATTTTCTTCATTTTAGGAACTTGTCAGAATGAGATAATAAAGGCAGACAAACAACTGCAAACAGTTCTCGTCAGTTTAATTTCTAATACTGAGATTAAAAAGTATTCCCAGCTTGTTAAACAGCTCATTTTCCGTCAACAGGAGCTCTACAAATGTTTCCAGGCAAAAGACAAACATCCTTAGTCTGCCAAACAAATGTCTTTCAGCTTTGTTGTGGTCTGGTCCTTTGARTGTAAGCCATGTCAGATACAGGAAAAGAATGACATTTAATTAATGCTGTGAGCCAAAAAACTGGATTAAAAAACCCAACGAACCAGCAATGGGAGGTGGTTCTTTTAGGCCAACTCTCTTTGAACCCAGCAAAAGACAGACCAGAAGTGCTCCTGCAGTAGCTATCACGAGACTGATTGAAACAAATTATTTAAAAACACCAAAAAAGTTTGCTAAAAAGTGAKTCAGTGCCAGCTGCAGAGCACCAATCTCTCCTGGTCACCTTCTCCCTGAAGGAGGAGGCTTTTCACGGGATGTTGTCCCAAGCCAGCTCATGCCTCACCTGTGAATTAGGATTTTCCTGGTAACTGCTCACTGAAATATGCCCTGCATATAATAAAGAGCCAAAAAAAAAAAACCCTTTACACAATACAAGTTTGCCTCAAACTAAGCACAACTTGAAAACAGAAAGGAATACTCATTACAAGCAGAAGAGACTGAGCATTTTAAATTCTCATCCTTTTCTTGCAGTTCTTAAAACACCGATTGACCCATGGTCAGAAATGACACGAACCATGTTCAAACTGATGTTTAAGAACCCTTAAATGCTTTAACAATAAATGTTGCCCAAGTAAGTGGCAAAACATCTGCACATAATGAACAAAAATATTTGGGTGAGGAGCCAAGTTCTAAAACAGGAAAATGAGAAGTGATTGAGTGCTATTACATGGACTTGCTAAAAAAGCCCTTGCATACAATGGCATCACTAACGCAAAAGAAAAAAAACAAACCATTTTTTTTTTATCTAGGAGGAAGTGAACTCTGTAGCATCAGCACTTGTTTGCAGTGAAAGACCAATATTCACTGGAACTGCATACACAAGTCCATTTGTGGAGAATAGTGACTATGACTAACACCGCCAGCATGGGAAAAAACCTCTAAGAATTCCCTTTTCTTTCAAAGCAGGGAAGTACCGGTTACAGCTTCCTCTTCACTAAGCAAGAGCAGCAGAGCAGTAATTAGGTCCTAAAACAACAGTAAAGCGTAGCTGCATGTGGCTGCCACAGAACTTCCTCAGCAGCAGACAAGAAACCCGACCCTTCCGAAGAACTGCACTGCCGAGGATCACTATCGAGCTGTCAGGGCTGCAGTGAGGGCATACCAAGAATTACTGCTCCGGAAAGCAAAGCAAGTCCTTAACAAGGTTAACTTCTTCCTGGCAGCTGAAGTATCGATGTGGAAGATGGAACACAAAGAAATCAGAACTGGCAGCCTTTAATCACCATTTGTTTCCCCACCTAAGGATGACTYCGGTATGCAGCTACACCGCAGCTGAGACACTGTACACCACACCCTCTTCTTGGCGCAGCCCTTCCCTCCCACCATACCTCAAATATTTTATCTCTCTYTCCAGAAGTGCAAGATCAGAAGCACTTCCATCTTAGCTTCCCCTGCATCCACAGGTCATGTGTGCAGTTGGCTCCAAAGGCACCGACGCTGCGGCACTGCCGGCAGTGCTGGGGGGAAAGGGGCAAAAGCTCACAAAATAAAAAGCCTTGGTCAGGCAAAGGTGGCAAAGAATATGTTGTGCATCCACTGTGCTTATTATGGCAAGCAGGCATTTAATTTAAATAAAAATGCTTTCAGKTTTGTAATTAAAAACTGACATATCTTGCTCAATTTTTTGTATGTTCATATAACAAATGAGCTTACAGAGTACATTAGTAATATCACTCCACAAATCTGACCTGATATCTACCCTATTTCGTACTATTCTTCCAAACTCCCAGTTAAGAAATCCAGTGGTTGGCAARATCAAATTACAAATCACACTTCAAAATCTAATTCTGTAAATGGTAAATAAAATTAAATTACAAGAGAGATGGAGCTGGGAGTGGACACTGAGCTGGCTGAAACCCAGAAATCAAAGGCCCATCATGCACACTTCCAGCTTGTGGCTTTACCAACTGAACACSTGTGACTTGTAAAAGGTTTGAATTGTGCCCTGATAAGAGCTCAAACTGGCATTACAGCCCAGTCTCAAGTAACACCATTTGAAGAACTGTGATTTTACATTTTTAACTGAAAACATGGCCTCTTTACCTCTCTCTGACCATTCTTCCCATTCCCTGATGTTTCCCCTTCGTATCACACAGCYTTTGTTTTGCTTTCAGGTGCTTCARGAATTGAACCATTTATTTTTAGGTATTCCAAGTTGCAATCTGCCACAGAAATCAACTTTATCTAATCCATCATATTACCTAATTTGCATTTATTTTCACCCTGCTTACCCAGAAATCACCAATTACCTCAGGGATTAAACTGAGAAAAATGGAACCTGATTATCTACTTTTAYGCATTCTACAGTCATACAAAGTTGCTACCTGCTCAGATGACGGAGCCTTTGTTCTACAGTTTATTCTTTGCCTCTCAATCAAACCATACAATGTAAAAACTTGTGTGTTTTTCCAATTTACTTTTGCACCATTAATCCTGATGAAAACATCTAGTCACATAATCTTTTCAGTATTTGCATAAAATACAAATGTGTATRTTCTCCAGTTTACTCCAGTTACCTTCTTTCATTTTGTTTGCAGGTRATTTCTGCATATTCTCTTGTTCAAACAGAAATATTTCAAGGGGTTTTTTATCAAAGTACTCAAAAGTAAACAAAAAGCCTTTGACTGCAGCACTTAAAAGGACAGCATTAGAGAACTCCSAAGTAAAAGTAACATTTAAATGTACTTCCTGCATGGTCTCCCAAACAGACTAGCTCGCTTAATGAACGAGCAGGGTTTATCACTCTACTAAAAAAGATAAGGCAATACAACTGTAACAGCACATTAAACATTCAGAGCTWGAGGGAAGAAACCAGAATAGCCATGGCCCAATTTGCTTCATACAACTGCATCACCTCTCCTGCTGCAAACTACATGAAAGGCACAGATCCTGCCTGRCCTTCAGTCCACAGGCAGTGTTTTCAAGGCTGGTTTAAGAGGACAGAACRTAAGTTTTGCATTTCTAAGTTTAACAAAGTGACCGGCACGAAGGAGACATGGGGGCATGACACCAAACCACAAACTCAGTCCTCTCTACAGTCAGCCCTGCTTGGGAGACAAAGGAAGTGGCAAATACCACTGTTTTCTCAGTTTACAGCTCTGTATGGGTTTAGCTTGAGCAACTGCAGGGTTGTCAGAAATATCTGTTACAAAACCAGTTATTAAATACAGTAGTCAGACATGTGCAAGGTATGCAATGCTTCAGATTCTCCAGCACAAGCATTYGGGGTTAATGGAAGGAGGTGGGGAAGTGAACAAGTTATAATACAGTTGAAAGATTAAATGTAAAAACATACCTTTTGTAGACTAGTTGGGTTCAGCTGTGTTTTGTCAATTATTTTTATGGCAACCTAAAGGAAGAGTTCATGATCAGTATTTTCCATAGGAACAATGCGACGTTATTACAACATGCTCGAATCCAGTAACAGAAATGGAAAACATGAAAATTACACAAAAAACGTTTAAGTTCCTTCTGCAAATTACGTACTTGTAGCTAAACTAGAAGCAGGAGAGTGGAAAAACCCTGGTATTTTAAGCATATTAAGACCAGAAGCTTGCTGAGTCTTTTACTTGACATTAAGACCATCACATTCATGACAGTGGAAGCTCCAGCACCAGACAGTGACCCGATAGAAAGCTGTGTGCCTACAGATAATATTTACACAGTATAATTATACAACAGATTACACAGTAGTGACTGGGCACTGGCAGTTTCTAAAAGCAGAGATTTCAGAGCATATTGAAAGCAATTCCACACAAATTTGGCAAGAAGTAAKTTCATCTTTGGAAATTCACTAAATATTTGTGTCAATTAGCTCCCTGATGGGTAATAAAAAAAGTATCACTTGGGAATCAACAAAAATATGCTGGCTGTAGTACAACATTTTGGGTAAGTACATTCCTTTAGTTGTTCTCATCTTTTCARTAAATGCTGCACAGAAATGTTAAAGAACAAAAWAAAAATTTCAYGAAATAAGCAAAAGAGAAATTCAGTACCATGCCAACTAGTCAGAATCCGAAGATTTGAAGCAATGAATAGGCAACAGAGACTTCAGTACAATGCAATTTGGATACTGGATGACACAGAATAGAAAACAAGAATCTTTCTAGAATTACACACCAATTGGTATTTTTGCTTTCTAAATTAGAGACTAAACATACCAGAAGAAGCTCTACAGAAGGAGATGGTGCCTCTCAAAAAGGCAAGATGCTGCAACTCAGCTGATTATAATACCTCACTGGTGCAAAGCAAAGGCTTTCAACTCCCCTTCAGTTTTTGGCTCAAACAGTAGATGCTGCTCCTTCCCATGCCACAGYTCCCATTTCCCTRYATCACTTTGTGCTATCTTTGTCACCTCATTAACTTGGGGATGGTGACATATGGAATAAAGAATATCTTACATCAAAGCAAATTTATATCCCTATGTTCAAGTGCAAAACCACAGGGATGGATTGTCACGATGGAGAGGGTAAGAGGGGAACAGYATTCAACGCTTGGGTGCATCACAGAATTATATAATGGATACGGTGTTTTCTGAAACTGATATTCAAGACTTATTTTGAGCTCTTCTAGATGCAAGATACGATGAGACATAACTGAGAAGCCATCTAAGAATCCTTTTCCTTTGGGGAGTATTGTCTTCTAAGGCAAGCTACTGAAATTAAAGATCACTATTTCCTAAGGCAAAATTCCATTGCAAAACCTTGAGAAATCACTTCAAAAATACAAACAAGAGAGAAAAACATTAAGCAATAGGTATTTTATATTAGCAGCTGTGTACGAAACCAAGAAAGATTTTTATCTCTACCTTTATGCCTGTTGTTAACTTTGTGACAATAGTTCAAAGTTATTTGCTTCCTGCAATCTCTTCTAATTCCATACTGGATGTAGTGACCACTGCCTTTGTCAACAGCAGATAATATTATTTTAAAGTGACCTGGTGTCCCAAGACTACCCACAGCTGTTCACTTGCTAAGTGCATTCCACTCACAAAAGGTTGCATTGTGTTCCAGGCTGTACCATTGTGGTCAATTTTTTAAAGATGTAAACTTCTTTTCAACGCACCAAGTCTTAAGCTACTGTGTTTCTGCAAAACCACTGGTGCCAGATGACCAGAGAGGTCTCTGACACTGTCAAACAAATTCAGCCCTGGAGATACAGGGAAGGTACATACTTCAAGTTTTCCAAAAGACAGACTCTCAGGCTTTTTCAGTGCACTAATTACAGCCTTAAAGGCAATGAATTTAGAGAATTCCTATCACATAAACATTGAGAGTACAATACATTAACAGACTTTGAGAGCTTGAACCCATCATCAGAACAGGGAACAACTTCAGGTGCCTTGATAAGGTCTCCAAATCACAGGCAAAGGTAACATGCCCTCAAGAATAGTTCTGATGTGCCTGAGAAAGTTAAATGGAGAATTTTCTAAGCACAGTTAATAAAACATTAAATTGACTTTCAAAGCAGAAACTTTGCTCTCTTTGCATAAAGTGCATTTGGAATGGTTTCAAGTACTGTGAGCTTGGGCCAAYGCTGGAGGAATGCAAGTCCACCTACACTATTACACTGCTGCATCAGCCATGATATTCTGTGTGAAATCCTTAGTAGAATTAAAATTGAGTTTGCTTTCACCATTCACAATAACATGACTTAAAACATGCCTCCTACATGATTTGAATAAAGGAGTTAAAGAAATCAGAAGTTGAGACACTGARCAAATCAGCCAAACTGCTACTATTCAGAATTTTTTTTCCCTCTTAAATTTCACTTTTTCCAAGAGAAGAACAAAAAGAAGATGACAATAGATTGCTTGGAGTCAGACTTGGATCCTGAAAGAATTCAGCCTCACTGGGAAACTTCAATTCCCTGGCTATTAACTGAACACATGCCTTTAATGAACAGAAGGATCCCTAATATTTTTGGCCACCTCAGTAAGAGCAGAAGGTAGYTTCATCTTTTAGATTCATCTTGGCAAGTATGGCAAGCTTGTCAGAGGAAACACCCTTTGATAAAACTGCAACAGAAAATACATGGAGTGCAGTCAAARAATTAAGAAAAGCAGATTGACAATAAAGACTTGTGGTTTCAAAAGGGAAGACAGCCTACAAATAACACTCTCCTAGGCAGAGGGATGGTGTTTCCAAACAGCAGCTCTAGTGCAGCAAAACTAATCTGTGGCTCCACACTCCTTGCAGGACAATTCAACTCCCTCAGGATAGCCTTATGTTCTGATCATCCCCTTTCTTTCTGCAATTTGAAGCTGGGCTCTCATCATGCATCCTACAGACACACTAAAAACGGAAATGAAAGAGTCCTAGTAGTCCAGCTGGAAACATGAAATCTTCATCTCAAGCAACAGGAAAATTTACAAGGAAGGACTCCAGATGCAAGGAGATGAGCAACTGCCCTAAAAGAATGCTTAAACAAACATATCCTCCTCCCAGGAAGTGCTGATCTGCTTCAAGATTTGGAAGCTCCTCAGCACAGGGACATAAAGAAGGAATTGCCATAAAGTGAAACTGACAYGGTCGCTTAAAAGGACATTCAGAACAAAGATAACAAGGAGAAGATAAGTGGGGTTCAAATACAGCAAGAACACAGCAGAGATGAAAACTCATTCAAGTGTAACTACCAAAATGAAGCATTTAGTTTACATTTTGGGACATAAGATGGAAAAAAAGAATAGGAACAAAGACAGGACAGGCAGCAGGAGCAAGTGTGCAAAGGAGGAAATCACAAATTCAGAAAGATAAGTGCCATCTGACTGAGACCATGCTGAGAACATGATCCTGGAATTTTACGAGAATCAGGTTTTTAAACAAGAAAGAAAAAAGAAAAAAACATTCTTGCAGCACAGGTTTTCGCATCTACCAATAACAAAGCAGCAGAGCAGGGTTTAGAAATTAACAGAAAACCCTTTTTTCCCAATCTATCGTAAAATTCCTGAGCTTGAAACTGGCAGGGAAAAACCAAGGAACCAGAAGGGTTAAATGCAGCATATTTTCCTACAGTTAACCGTGGAAACTTATGGAAATACACAAGATATGGCTACCTGGACTATAGTAAAGCCTTACCTAGGAGGCTGCATGGAAACTTTTCAGATAAGCTGAAAAGTGTTCAGAGCTTTTTTTTTTTTTTTCTCTAAAAAAGATGGCTAAAGAGATATCAGGTTGGAAATAAATGAGTAACAGTTTCTCAAGGACAAGATTKTGGGACCAATCTTGTTTAATATCTATATTAGCAGCCTTGGCACAGGATGTCAAACCATAATGATTAAGTCTGTTGAAGGAGTTAAGAGGCACCATCAAATACAATGGAAAACTGATTTAAACAACCTTGGAGATGAGTTAGTAATGAAACCGAGATTCACCAACATACAAGGTTGGTGCTGCTGCTGATCACAAGCAAAGCACATCAATTTAACAACCACGAGAAAGGCTAGCACAATCTAAAGATTGATCAGATAAATACTCCYTTAAGGGCAAGGGTGAAGTAATGACATTGGGGAAATTGCTATCCAGAATATTGTGAAAAATTCTGGTCACAGATACCTAAAATTAATAACRTTGTACAGTTCATCTATCAAGAAGAGAAATTTTACACATCTCCCTCTTAAGAAAAAAAAAGTTTTAAATATCTTGAATATATTCTTACAATATTAGCTTAATTGCTCCCTTCTAAGGAATGACACTTATTCCAATGGTCACATCCCAGAAAGTGTTTATGCTCTGAACGGGTTGAACTACATAAATTCCATGAGTGTGGAAGCAACTCAGTACTTGAACCTTTTCAAATTTAGCCAAATATTTTAAACTGTCTCCTTTATTTGTTGAAATTTYAAACAAAAATAATGAACCAGAGGTCAACACAATTATCTACAAATAAAGGAAAATACGTTTCACTTTTTGCCGTCTGACACATATCCATCTCCAACTTCTATACCTATAATGATAGCAAAGAAATACTAACCAAGTACTTGCATATCCTGTCTAAAGTATCAGTAAAAAGAGGAGGGAACTTAAGTGGAAAGGAATTAACCAAAAACTTTCCCTACAAATGAAAACTAATTTTAACATCAGAAGATAATGGGAAGTGTCAGCCAAAAAAAAAAAGAAAATTCCACCTCAAGAGCTCCTGCAAAACCATGTCCCCTCTGTTCCTGCCACTGAATGCCATATTAGCTCAGAAAAGAGAAATTCCCTTAAAGCACTTCAGTCAGCAACATAGCTTCTGTAAAAGTCCTTGCTGGTATCAGCAAACATTTACTTCATCAGACAGGTTTGGCAAGAAVAGGTCAGCAAGGTGTTTCTCCCTCTGTCGGTACTGAAGAGTTGCTTTAAATAAAATAGCACCAAGAAACACCTTCTTGTAACAAGCAAACAGGACTAKAGCTCACCAAATCAGAACCACCATTAAGTGCAAGTGATTAATTACATTGCAATGACACACAGAAACTAGATATGGAGCTGAATTAGACTCTGAGAAGAGATGCAAAGAGAAAGCTTGTCTATACTGCCCACATTGACACACAAACTGTCTCTGAACAAACTGAAGCATCTTCCCAAAGCTGCCCAGCACTGCAGACATCAGCAGGATTCCTGGGAGATACATYGCTTTGGCAAGAAAATACTGCATTTGGGCTACTTGGAACATAATTAAGACGAGATTTAGCTCTCCTTCCTGACTTCCCCTCCAATACAGCCCTGCAGTTTAGAGACACTAAGAGGAAGTCTTTCCAACAAGCTTATTTAATTGCTGTAAATTGATCTCTTTTTTCGGGATCAATATACAGCAATTTCAAAAAAAAAAAAAAAAGGAGGATTTATCCAAGAATATTAGTAGCAAACTTTAACAATAATTAGCAGAACAAGGCCTTGTCAAAAATACAAATTTAAGAGATCATTTCCAAGATAAATTGTTTTGTAATTGTTACTAAAAAATAGTTCTCAGTTTCTGCTTTTTTTTCTACATCAGGGGCAGTCTCTCTAGTAAAATGTGCTCTRTGTTCAGAGATTTAGATGATGCTGTTCCAAGAGAACCTTCACACCTACAGCAACTCCCTGCTGTTTACACCCACACCACTTTACCTCTCTGCCAGTTAGGATGTGCCTTGCCAGTTTCACTTTTGCAAAATTCCCCTTTCCAATCGTTTTAAGGAGTCTGTAATTTCCAATATGCGGCTGCTCATCAGCACAGGAGGCTATGGAGTTCCTGCAGCGAGCTCCAGAGCGCCCAGTTCGAGAGGAAACTTCCTGCCGTCCATCTCCGTGGGACGTGTGCTGCAATAAAAACATAAATGGGTAAGGCTGGGGAATAAAGACAAAACACATCAATGATGAGACRCACACAACATTCAAAAGCATCAGCAGTGCCTTTGAAGAAATCTTCAAAGGATTCAACTCAAATTTCATGTTCACACTGAACTTCGTTCTGATGGGGGCAATAAAGTGGAGTCCAGCTCACAACACAATATTCATTTCATCACCTGCAAACAGGACAGTGAGACGTCACCTGCACTGCAGCAACAGTTGAGCATTTTTAAGTAACTTACTTGGACTGCCAGATTAGTTACAAAACATAGAGGTGTTTGATATTACTTCCCATTTACATTACTGTGCCTAACTAATGCAGGAAAGCCTTTGGAAAGGAAACATTAATAAAGCTTTTCCAAGAGTACMAATTGTTAACCCTTATTGGACAAGTTATTCTAACAAAATAATAAAAGGGTTTTTTYCTTTCCTGTGGTTCTAAACTTGTGTTCCTACAAAACCCTATGACTGAAAATGCCCAGGATGACCTAGGGAACAAGGGAAGAAATCCTAGTTAATGTACAAAAACCTTGGATATACATAGGCTGAGAACCAGTTACAGAGATCCGAGACACTGTCTGCAATCTGTTAAGTTACTTTCACTCCATTTCCCTGAGCAGCTACTAATTGCAAAAAGGAATGGTTATATATTATATCTATAACAGTCTTCATTCATTAGATCACATGGTTAAGAAYGAAGTATTTTTTTCATTTCCTCAGAGCCTGTTTATGAGACAGCAGGTGCCCTCTTATATTCTTAAACCATGGTTGAGGTCCACATACCAACCRCACTAACTAAAGTATTAGTTAGAAATGCTCAACAGCCTGCAAAGGTGGAGCAAATATCTGGCTCCACCAAAGATGACACATTAAATTCATAGTCATCCCAGAAACCTYATACTTCTCTTGCTGAAACCCAGTGGGTACAACCAAGAATCTGGCATACAGCAACATTCAGTCTGAAAAAATCATTGTAGCATGAGGATGAGATCATACCTCAAGAGCTAACAACCATGGTACAGGCACAAACGAACAAATCCATGCTTGCATGACACTTGGCAAGTTTCATTTGCCTGATGTAACCTTGTGACTATACACTCTCACATCTTAGGTTCCTTGATTTGTTAATTTGAGTGCAACAGTTGTGATTATTTTAAAAAACACATTCATTTAGTTTAAGAAATGCTACTGACAGGAGCCAATGGCAACTCTCGGAAAATTGTTTCAATATTTACTATTTTAAAAAATACATGATGTTTTAATATCAGTCTGGCTTTAGCTTTCCTTATTGCCTGGCTACTGCATGGCCACCAAATTTGAACTTCCCATTTGCACTTAATTTCTCTGACCACAATACCCCTTCACTTTAGTGATACATATATTAAGCTCCCTAAACAGGGTGCTGTATGAATGATTAAAGACAAGGAAACATTTCCTATACCTGCCCTCAGAACCCTCCCCTACTTTTCCAACATMTTTTTGTGGAGTTCATGGTAGAACGGACCTGCCATACCAACAGTAGACACAGCAGGACTAAACACAGAGGTTGCATCTTCTATTCAACACCCCACTGATTGCACAGGGGCAGGAAAACCCTCTTTGCAGAAGATCATCTGTACCTGACCACCCAACACCAACCCTACTGTTTCCCATTCCTGGATCCTTACATGCACAATCACATGTGTCTGAAGTAAAAGGCAGTTTTCTTTCATGCAAGTATCAAGTATTTCCAATGAATGGCCCATCCTGCCCTATTTCATATTCTAGCAATTTTATCCCAGTTTTCAGGAGCAARAGTTCTTCCAAACCACTAATAACTGGCACAAGAACAAGAAGCACCCCTGTAAAAATATTYAGTGAAAATTCAAGGCTTGATAACAATTCCATGTCCTCAATAACATCTTGAGACCTGCAGCAAATGGGCATTTATCGACCAGTAATTCTCATAAAGAAGGACAAGCAGTCACCAGCTGAAGGACCTACTAAAGTCAGTGAAATCTTGTATCAACAATTTCAGTATTTTGCATGTCCTTAATGTCAGGCTGGTGCTGGTTGTTTAGGCCATCATAGTCACCCTGGGTGTACTGGCCCAATCCTCTGTATTTCCCTAAACTTYGACTTCTAACAAACCTTGCAACACACAATGCAGAGAACTTCTCTGTCAGCTCCTTTTGTACCTTTTAGTGTCAAATTATTCAGACCAGCTAGAAAAAAGCAGCAACTGCTGATGCTAGATGTTAACATCCTCCTACATTGCTACCCCCRGTGATCAGGAGCCACGATGTTCCGTACAGAGCCATGAGGATATTTCTTGGATATATTAGAGGAAGGTTCATTTCAGTTCAAGTACAGCATCCCAGGAACACAACTGTACTGCTTACACTGCACTTCACTGAGTTGATAACTTTCCTCGACAAAAGAAGTGTATCAGAACTATTTAAACTACAGCCCTTCCACACCTGGGCACTCAGCACAAGCTGGCTTCAGCAGGAGCCAGACTGCCTCTCAGCAGGGCTTGTTGGCTTAGGCTCTCCAGCAGACAGATTCAACAACTTGAATTCAACAGCTTTTGAACCACACAGCTGATTCTGAAAACAGAGTAGCTGGGCTGCCTTGTGCTTTAAATAATACACTGTGTTAGTCCTGAGCTGGCCTATGAGGCAGCTGAGATGTGGGCATCAGGTACCACGTGTTCCCAAGCCAGAGAAATGGTTAGTCAAAACTGATCCTACTCATACACTACTTCACATAAACAATATCAGGTAAAAGGAAGATACTATTATACCAACGAACTCTATTTCACATAGTAAACCACCCAGTTCATGTGTCTTGAGAGCTTCATTGTCCTCCTGTTAAGAAATTACTTTTTGTGTCCTATAATGTTTTTCATGCTTCCTAGCATTGCACTTAAAAGGCAGAATTAACAGTTATGAACTCATTTGGACGAGGACTGATAAACTGAACACAATCTCCTTGTATGGAGGTTTACATTTCCACTCTAACCCAGATTATTTCTCTTCAAGAATATGACCTTTTTCAGCTGTGGGTTTTAAGTATCAAGCTGTGCGTTCCTAAGCAGTTCAGTTCTCTCCAACTGACTTGCTCACAGCCATGTTTCACTCTGCAGAAATCCATTTGCAACCATATCTAATTTGGACTATATTCCACTTCACATAAATAAATCTATCAGCAAGTCCTTCCTCTGTCAGTTACATTATTATACTGAACAGACAACAAGCTTTCTAAAAACCACAGAAAACAGATTGTCCATTTCAACATGGGTTTTCTTTTGCATATGGAAATAAAGGAAGAGCATAAACTCAAAATTGAGTGAAAGTGTTTCTCCCAACCTAATAATTTTCAAGAAGCCATGATAGGCAGATGGAAAGCTAAATGGTATAGGCAAAAAGCAAAATATAGGTGGTTCGATAAAAGCTCAAATCATGCATTGGCTTGTATAGCATCTATGCATTGGCTTGTATAGCATCTGGCTGTACTCAAGTACTTCCCAGGAGAGTTTCCTCAGCAAACAGATTAACAGTGCCAATCTCAGCCCAGAGAAATGGGTAGTAGCATCCTCTGCTCGCCAAATTGAGATGCAGGTCATTTTGCTTTTCCTAAGTAGATCCTCAAATCTGCAGTTTTTGCCTCCCTCACCCCGCCCCTGACCCCACCAACTCTGTTCAATTTCAGGCTTCTTTTCCAGGTCCACGTTTATATRGCTTCAAGAAGAAATGGGGTATGGGGTCGGTCTTAAAAAGGCAAGATTTAAAACAAGCAAGTGTTTATTTGTGGTAAGTTTCCATACATTGTGGTAGGTGAGTTGTATCTCCTGGAGGTGCTTTCTGCCCAAGAATAACACTTGCTAATGAACTCACCATGGCTGAGYGATTCCCAAAATATCTGTCTTCATGTAAAGCAAGACCATTACACTGTAGAGGGGATGTGAGGCAAGAAGACTGGGTACTTTGTGTGACTTCAAGTTTACCAGTCACCACCTCTTTTAAAAGAAAGGTCTCCTGAAATCCACTCATTACAAGAAAGTACTTTCTTCAATATCTTGGCATGCATCAGGTTCCATTTAAAAATCTTTTAAATACTTTAAAGGTTTGCTCCTTTTTTTTTTTTTTTTGCACCATCCATTTTCAAGCCAACGGGACAACCTTTGTCATTGAAAAACAAAACAAAACATTCTCCTCCTCCCCTCATCCCCACCCTATTATTACTTAACCTGAAAGGAAATGAAGTAAAATGTCTCAGTTTGTGAGAGACCTTACTGCAAGAGACGGACTGAACCCAAGACCAACTACATTTGGAACACAACACAAAACCCACCTTTTCGCAAAAGCTTTCCCCCAATGAAGAGCCGACATCCTTTCATAGCCAGATAATGATTAGCATGAAGAGAAAGAAAAAAGAAAAGGAAAAAAAGTAAAAAGCAAATGAAGTATGAGGGTGTTGACAACTGAAATCTTTTTGGTAGATGTTAGTTTTATCCAGTATCTGTATGGTTTCAGATATCTTAACAKTCAGAGCATTAGAAACACACAGGGCAGGGGATGACTAGTATCAAAGTTCTTGCACTGCTTAAGAAGGTGCCAAAAGTTGAAGAAAAATCTGAAAGAGACAGAATCTGATATCCATTAGAAGAGCTGAAAAACAGTAAGAAATTAGAATGTCCAAGACCTGCAAAAATCCATGTTTAATTACAGTAAATAGGAAACTCTTTCCAAAGTGGGGGGAAAAGTGGCATCAACTTTTTAAAAGTATTTATTTAATACAATAGTGAGAACTAGCTTATCATCAGCCAAAATGAACTAATAAAATTTAATCTTACTAGAGTCTCTAGGAATGTTTATTACCTTAGCTGTTACCTTACTTCTGTATGAAACATTACAAAGTGATATTACAGAAYTTCTTGGAAAGCTGTCAGACCAATAACAATCATTTGAGACACTAAATTGCTTCAT